AATTATTGAATCTGATAAGTTTTCTAGAACTGTAAATTTTGAACATGACTTTTTATTTTTTCCTAAAAACACAGATAATCAGAGTGTGCATTGTACTGAAAATGTCAAATTTGACTATTCCAAATTTCATGGATGTCATTTTTTTAAATGAAAATTAAAAAATGATCCCGAATATGCTACACATCTATTGATTTTGATTTGAATTCCGAATTTAAAAAACTCACAAATATTCCCAGATTTTAAAATGAATTCTAAATTTAAAAGCACACAAAAATTTCCACGATAAATATCACAACTACTTTATTCTTGCTAGTTTTTCCCTACAAGTGGAGCAAATTCGTTCTTTAAGTCTTCTTATTTCAAATCTTCCTATTCCCTTTGATTGTTAAATATTCCTTTATTCATGCATATGAATCTAAATCGTTTCCGGTAGATTTAACGATCCAAACTCTCAAAATGATTTCAACTTTCCCCTAGAAGACGATAGTTCCAGAGTACTAGAAAGGTTGGAAACAAGGTGTGCGCAGATGAAAGTTGTTCGACAACAAAGCGAGAAAGATAATACTTTTAGAGTAGCTCAAACTTAACCCTCCGTGAAACACGAGCATTGGGGTCAGGCGGCGGTATGCAGCAGAAGTGAGGTAGGAACAACAAGTGATCACAATTTTTCAATGTTTTTTAACTTGTTTGAAGGCGGATGATAACCATGAGCAAGTGCTACGTGTGGCTCTTTGGATCTTCTTCGAAGACATGACTTCTCATTGTTCTTGGATTATCAAACTGACGTTAGAAACTCAAATTTAGGACATGACTTTGAAGACTAACACGACGGCTTCAGTTAAAGCCCTTGAGAGTTTAAAATTATGCACTGTGAATTGTTTTGATCCAGCTTGATCACTGTGTCTAATGCAGAACCCAAGTTATAGAAAGATAGTTCTGCACAAGGCACTCAGACATTGGAGAGGATTCACGTAGATAATTCCGTTAATTTTCAAGATACTCAAGTTCAGCCCCAAGGTTAAAAAAGCATTCGTTCCCTTGAACGTTGGATAAATGCTTATCATGACTGCGCTGACTTTGAAAGCTAAAAAGGGAGTGGATACGACTGTGGACTGACTTTTTACTCCTTGTCTACTCAACATTCTTTGCCAAAAACGTTGGCTTTGAGAAAAAGGAAAGATAGCAAACTGGTTGGAGTGGGTTCCTTGGTTGGTTCCAAGAGGAAATCTACTCTTGTAATGCAAAGAGCTAAAGCCAAAAAAACTTCTGCAAATGCTTTGGTTTCTGTTGATGCTCAAGAGAATGTCCCGTCTCTTGCTGCAGAAAAGAAGTTTTTTTCACGAACTGAACATCTGAGTGACGCAAGAAGGTCTTGATCCTTAAGAGAATGCCCCGTATCTTGCTGGTGGAAAGAAGCTCTTTTTACAAATTAAAAATCAATTAAATATTGAAGTTAATCATGATTGCAATGCTACTGATAATGCTGAGACTCAAGGAGTTCTTTGTTCAACAAGTGTACTCTCGGCCAGAAGCTGGTACTGAGGAGCACCAGCTTCTTGCAGAAGATAACAATGCAAAATTTTTGCTCTAAAACATCCAAGAAATTTGCGCCTCCTAAGAAAACTTTATATTCCGCTGTGAATTTTTGAAATCTAAAAATATGTTCTATATCCATCATATTGATAAATTATTTTCAAATGATAGTCATGTTAAAAATGCATGTTGACATTTTTAAGATCTAAAACCTTGAAAATTAATAAAAAAAACTTTACAAAAATTTATGATTAATTGATTTTTTATGTACTTAGAAAAATAATATTGATATAAAAAATATTTATAAATTCACATATAATAAAAAATCGTGGATTTAAAATTTCTAAAAATATCAATTGCATATGCAAAATAAAAACTTAAAAAAATTTCATGACAAGTTATAATTGACAAGGCAAAAAAATATTTGTCCAAATTATCAAGACATAGTATTAAAAGAAATAATTAAAATATAAAGAAATATTAAAATATATTATTAGGTATGTCATTTCATAGAAGACTTGGAATGGTATACGAAGTTAAAAAGAAAAAATAGTAGCATTTGAAACTAAAAAACTAGAAGTAGTAATGATGATTAGAAAAGTAGTACAACTAATGAGAAACAATGTACTGAATCTCTTTATTTATCTTGCTAGGACGTTATTGAATAACTCCTAAACTAGAATGATTCATCGTCTCAAAAGTTGAAAAGTTGGCACCAAAACTCATATAGTGATTGAGTCACAAGCCACCTATAATTGAACCAAATTTGAGATAGATACTAAAAACATGATATCCATAATTTATGATCATATAATATTTATCTCAATAATTATAAGATAATATTTTTTAAAATTAAGTGTTTTCAAATTTTATCTAAAATTAGCCAAAGTTTCTAATTAAGATAATTCATTTTTGAAAATGATGAAACTTGATTACTTACTTTGATTTTAAAAACTATGTAAGGTAATCAATTTAATAAATTTTTTAACTCATGATAACAATCATAAATCATCATGTTGAGGTTCATTCTAGTTAAGGAGTAATCTTGGTTCCTAGCTATTTATAGTTAAGACGTTCGCCTGGACAGAGGATAAATACTTCGGAATTCTTGTGTATTACGTCTTTTTGGACATGACCTGAAATAAAAGTGTTTGAGTTCTGGATGGACGTAGCTCTCTTCCCCGAGGATGAACCACGTTACATGTGTCTCTCATGATGGATTGATGATTCTCAGGTTTTACATTTACACATCATAAGTGTGTAAATTTGATAAATTATTGAGAAAATAATTGATACTAACTTTCAATATAAGCTTAAAATGCTGTTGATTTTATTGATGATTGTGTTAGTTCAATAAATTTCAAGCCATGATAGCCTGAAATTAATATATATTAATTATAATTGGAATTAATTTATATTAATTTTGAATAATTAATATAAAGATACATATATGTGTTTGGTTGTAACTCAAGGTCGGCTGACAGGTTGGGGTTCAATCTGTTGACAAGTAATGATATGATAGGTTGATTTGTTGACCACTAAGGTGACAAAATACTTGCTTGTCCCTGTTTTAGTATTTTTATTATCTCAAATATTTTAATAGAATAAAAAATATTGGAGTTTTTTTTATGATTTCAATTGTAAAAAAGTTATTGTTTCGGATAATTATTATGACATTAGAACTTGAAATGTTTTTTATGTTAAAACTACAGTATGAGCACTTTAAACTTTGAACCCAGTACGAAGCTTATTGTAAAAGTAGAAATAATGTGTAGAACATTTTCTCTCATACTTTTAACTGCAAAAGTATGTTGTAACTGAAGATATAAGTTTAAGATTGAGGAATTTTTGAAAGAAAAAGGAATTTTTAAACATAACGTCAATCCTGCAGAGAACATCGTATTTTTTATGTTGTTGTAGATGGCAGTTATGGATAAATGTACTCTAAAATTACTAAAAAAAATGTACAATACCAGTTTACTATAAGATATTGTAGATAAAGTGAGCCATATGAATAAGGATGTACAAAATTCAAGACAAAAGTTTGCAACATCTATTGAAGACAGAAAAGAATTCAAGTGACGTTTAGATGTGGTGAAATCAAAAATATCAATTTACGTAGAGGTAAGATCATGTGAAGAAGCCAGAGAGTTTTGATTGATTTTCTGATGAGGTGTTAAGGAAAAAATTGAGACAATGTGGAGCCAACTATGATGGAGGTGTGAAGATTCAAAATCTGAACGAGCTAAATTAAAAGGTTAAGTGTCTAATGGGGAAACTTCAAATCCGAGGATTTCATGTCGGATGCAACTGCATTTATGCACTTAGGGTCAAGTTTTAGTTTCAGTCATGAAATTTGTGACGTTTTAATCCAAAACGGTAGTGATACAGACATTGTCGCTGATTTCTGTCCTAAAAAAGCGAACTTTTGAAGTTTGAGTTATATTTGATCCATGGGAAGTATTTATACTTAGAGATTTGAATCATAGATTTTATTCTTACCTCGTGCGTGTTACTTGCTAGGAACAAAGGAACACTCGTCTGTGGCACCATGTACAGTTGCGGACTATATACATGATCAGCTTATGTGTGTGAACCGGTGTGGTCCACGTCATTGTACATCACTGATCACTGATCCACGTCAATTATCAGTGTGGTCCACGTCAATACAACACTCTTAATACGGTTATTGGTTTAGCTTCAGGAGTTGGAAGGCTTTCAATTCATCGTCTTCAATCTACTGAATTAATGGTACCTGGAATGTGGTAGGTATACTGTGTATAGACTACTTGACGGATTGATGGCAAAAGACGTCAGAACTCAGCTGTCGCCAAGTTGGGACACAACTGCTTACCTAAGGTCAACAGTCGTGTTACAAGTCCTTGTGAGAAGGGTGAACATATTCAAAGCTTGACCACATATCAGAAATGATTTCTTAAACCTTGAAGTGTCCTTGTGTTTTCTCGTCTGCAGTGTGCTGAAAACTTCCACACAGAAGGATGCAGTAATGACTTTCACAACTTCGCTCTCTTGCGTTAATAACTCCTTGAAGGGTATGAAAAACTGGTCAGATGTATCTGGTAATGTGGACGTTTTAGCGCCATATAGACACATGATAAACAAAAGACTAACTCCTGTATCCTTACGAACTACCACTGAAAACTTGAAGTGGAAACCACTCTACCTTCGCTTTCTCCTTTCCTGGTTCAGCTGTCCCCATCGTAAAATAGATGATACCACAACTCCTAGCGCAAGTACTCCAATTACATACCTACACACCCTGTAGATGAGCATTTTACATTGGCCACAGCTCAATTTGTCTAAACAAGCTAAAATAACAAGAGCGGTAGAAGAGGCTCTAATGATGCTTTTGAAAATATCATGATAAGCTCAGAACAATCGCAATACCTGACTGGTAACGAAATGGAAAACACAACTTCATCTGTCAATACGTGTCTTTCGGATACCTTTCAATACCAAACTTCTACTTCCATCCTCTTCGTCTCAGACTCGTATTCTCTCGCAGATTTTGATTTTAATGAAACACCAGTAAAATGACATCAGAATATTACAACCTCCAAGTCACATAGCCATGAGTGTTTCCATGGCCATAACTGGAACTGTTTGGTGGTCAAATGTCGTACTTATAGGGTCGGCAAATCAGATTTGATATTAATGTTACATGGAAGAGGGGAACTTCACAGATCATCCGGATACAATTAAGCAGGTATGTCATTTGACATCCCTGGGCGTAAAGCTGATTCGGCAATGCCTGCCGGACTAATAGACTCTCAATGGTGCTTATCATCAATGTCATCCTATGAAGTGTACAGATTAGTTTTGAGTAGTCTTGACGACTCTATGATGACACTGGTCTTATCCTTTCCACGAGAAAAATGTTTCCTTTGTCATCTCGACCCACCCGCATAGTGTCATCAACGTATCTTATATAGCCAGTAAAGGAAGCTATCTCGTGCAATATGAAGACACGTCATTAAAATAAAGAAGTGCGAAGAGTATGAAGATGATGGCATTCCAAAGCAAACGAAAAGAACAATATGTGGAGTTCATGGATACGTGATTTCGAGCCAACCATCTGGGTTGAAAATACTTAGAAGCAAATCATAATTTTTCTGAAAAAGAGAAAAAAGCTGCAATTGAATAATACAATGTTAGCATGACAGTTGATCACCTTGGGGTGGCAATTAACGTATTCAACAGAACATAACCATTGATATCAGAATAATAATCTCAGTCGGAATGGATAAAACTCAAACATCGGAATAAACATTTTCGGAAAACAAAATGATTTACGGTACCTGCTTCGGGGCAATAGCGGAATTTTCATACTGAATGTTTACCCGCTGCATACCACAAAACGTACCACCATCAGATTCATTGCTCATAACATATTGACTAGACTTTCAGTAAAAATCAAGACAACAGAAGTATACAAGGCGAAACAAATTCTGTCTATGCCATTCCATGGTACAATCATAAAGAGCCATCAAATATATAACTTGAAATTTTTATCAATATATCATACTCATAGAACAAAATTCAACCACTCCCCAATGAGAAATACAGAAGGCCTGCTGGGCTATACCGTTGGGGAATCGATGGTGTAAGAAGCTTCAACGGTGAGTGCACCACTCAACATGCCAAGCCCTGCCACATTAAATCCTATCTTGTTGATTGCTCTCCTCTGCCTTGACAACGTTCACAAAACAACCTGTTAGAACTTGTGGTTTCATAAATCGGTCAACTTCCCGACCATTTCAAACCGGACGGTGCTTTAAGATTATTGGAAAAGACAGAGCTCAGACTAACCTGGTCCACATCAATAATCTGGAGAAAGTCGCCCAATGCGATGAAGTCTCTGAGTCCTAGCTTTGTTCGTTTCACACCTAGAATGGAGATGGTGCTGTAAAGGAGCCTCCATTCACCTTTGACCTAGCACGCTTTAGTCAGACTTTGTTTTCAGATTCATACAAATGGCCACCGACTCAGGAAGTGATATTAACAAAGCCGTCAAACGTAGTGCTTGCAATAAAACAACAGATTTTTTGCTGAGGACGATTTTTTGCTGCTCAGGTGACTGTGTCAAACATCTCTGTTTAATTATGCTAGGATGGACAACGTTAAAAAAAATCCATTTTACACCAAACCGGTAGAAAAGAGTGAGTGTGGGTGTACCACATCAAGGTTTTCTGTGGGTCTTGGAGAGGGATTCATGCCCTCCAGTGTTAACAAAAGGTCTTCAATCTCGGCTTTTCTCGGAGCAGGAACCCCGAATATTCCTCTATTCATCCCTGAACGCCACAATGGCAGTCAATCACACTAATATACAGCACGTCATATAATATCCGAGTCTCTTGATCAGCATATTGTTCCAGTCATCCAGCTGCAGTATACAAGGATAACAGCAAGGTGCTGTTGGAGAAATTATGCTACACTGTGATCCATTAACGCGGGAATGACAGACTGAATGGAAATTTGAACAACAAAGTGCTCATAGCAGAGAGACATATTAGCTATTTGCGATCACTACGAACTCAATGAATTGTTTACAAAAGAGGAGTGATACGTGAAAAGGCATGGAGAAAATGTAGGTTGAAGGCTGACGGATGGCCTTCGATAAGGTAATGAACAGAGAATTTTGATCTCCAACTCGATTCATGACAAATGGGAGGGGAAAACAAGACTGCACGTCTGTATAAACGTGAATGATAATTCATGGGAATTGGCTCAACGTCTAAGTTCAACAATCACGTCTGCTCCTTCACACAGACAGAATGCCGTCGACAGCCTTACTGACCAAATACTTGATGAAGGAAGTTGATGGTTCGAATTTAATCATGATGCGTACAACAAAGGTGAATGCACAAACTCAAAGGACAACAAAATGTGGTGGTTTCGTCAACTCGGCCGACAAGGAATACCTCAGTGACAGCAAACTATAAACGAGAAGAAAATGGATTCGTAATTCCCACACCTTGCAGAGCTTGCAGAAGGGCCAATTTGACATCCTGCAAGGAAGCAGATTCAACGGGAGCTCCATCGGCAGCTACCTGACAGGCAACCCTTCTATACCCGCACCTCTTCCCACGCAACGTCAGCTGCGATGGGGTCCTGAAGGTGGATCTGAAAGCGACGCTTCTGCTGCCACAGTCCGTGTCCCTGCTAGTGCCAGCCCAACAACGAGCCGTCGTGGAAACCACCGCAGCAGCAGCAGTGGCAGTAGCAGCCATACTTGTACACTCTGCAATCCGTAGTCAGAAATCAAGCCTGCCGTCTGTCTGTCTATCTATCTATGCTCTATCGTCTCGATGCTGGCCCGAATCAGACCGGGCTCACATGAACAGCGAGCGCTGGCGATGCATTTCCTTCGTCATCCTCCTCCTCCTCCTCCTCCTGGCGGGTACCAGGGGAGGGGAACGAGGGACCAGAACGGAACCTCCACTCCACAGCCCATGGAAGGCAGAGCTCGCCGGGAAAAGTCCACTCCGACTGGATAAAATCGGCCGTTAGCGACGCCGCAGCAAAGTGTCCTCTTTCCGCCGCGTGGCACTTGTCCCATCGCGACCGACAGCTGTCATTACCCCGTCACCGGCATGTCGTCCCGCTCTTGGAAGCTCCAGTCTGCCCGCTACGTAATCCTCTTGGGCCCCCTCTCTGTCAGTGGTGGATGAGTCCGACAGATAAGGAGGGGTGCAACCGACCGTTCCCACCGAATCTTCATCCCATAAGTGTCCGTGATTCTTCTGTTGACTGTCGATGCAAGCTTGGGTCGTCAAATGAAGGAATGGCACTTTTGCACTCCAAGATCGAGTTCGCTGAACTCTCTACTGAAGTCATGAGGTTGCACGATGGTGTCGTGTACTCATTTCCATCTTCGTTCTTCATTTTCAAGTATGCTTAATGAAACAAAGTATTACGTGGCTGCCGATTTGGACTGCAGAGTATAGTTAACCATTTGTCATTGAAAATGTAATGTTTGTTAAATCTAGAGGGTCAGGACATCTTACAAAGAGTGATCTTGCAATCAACTAGGTTTTGACACATCTTCATATGGTTGAACAATGTCATGTTATTAATGTGTATGTTATGATTACTATCTTCTTCCTTGATGTGTAGTAAGTGTAGAATCAAGACCTCCAAGCATATGAAAATGGTATGCAGCGATTTATAATATTGTGTTTCTCCACATAAGAATATTCCAACTTTAATGACAGTATACTTTATCATGAGTGGTATTGAGATATGGGTTCATACTTTATACATTTATGGGATTTTAGATTAGCACCTTCCAAACTATTCAACATACAATATTAACTTTTATTAACAATATTAATTTTTAAACATGTACTTGTATGTATCTATTTCTCTGAAGATTGTATTTTTTGGTGCACTTCATGCGAAAGCAATAATTTTGGATATTATGAAATAAATCGGTTCGTTGGCCTCGATAGTTTTTTCTATTCTGTAAAGACTCAAATTTTATTCTCCTCCTTTTTCTATATTGTTTGGTACTTTGATCATCAAATGTATAGACTAGACTTTGCCTTTGTATGTGTTCCCCAATTACTTGTTCTGAAGATTTGAACATAATTATGTTATTTGATGACTATTCACCTGTTGTGTTGATTACGGACGATAGAGCAGAGGAATCTTAGTTGCATCATGATATATTTGCTATTATGATGTTATTATTGCTAGCTCCATTACATGTAAGTAGGTTTCATCCTTGCACTAACTGATATTCTCATCCTTGTCTATATTACAAGGTGCCCTCTCGTTCGTTGTACTTTATGAATGTTGAAAAGTACCTCCCGTCCACTGTGTTCATGATCGATGTGGGGGATGGATGTTAGCTTTGGCTTTCAATCCGTGCCAACCACCGAATGGTGGTTGCTCTTGATGTGGAGGTGGCACATCGAAGTGATTTTCCATTTCTTGTTCTTCTGTTGCGAGCATTGATCATAGACTCGAATGCTGGTACGAATCATAAGTGGAATCCTGACCTCGATGATGGGGATGGTGGTTTGGACTGTGTCGCATGGAAAGCTGCTGAGTTTTACATAATGGGAGTGGAGAATTGTCAACCACAGGGTCGCTAGCCTGCCCATCGAAACCTCGTGTGGACCAAGTCTTGCAGCAGATTGATTTCAGTAGTATCACAATAGTGATGGAATGCTTTTCACTCGACCTCAAAGTCGCCACTCTGCAGCACCAGGTTGGTCTGAGTGGAGAACAATGATCCACTGCTCGAGAGTTTTCAAGGTGGACTTTGTACTGGGAGTCCAATGTTGAGACAACAGAAGGTCGGCCAGCACATCGAGCATCTTCTTGTGCAGTTGGTTTGTTGAAACTGATGGTCGATTTTTGTTTGTAGAGGGGATTGTGAAGTAAAGTGAACTCACTAGTGATCATGCAAGAGATAACTACGCTGTATCTTTCAGAGTCTTCTGTCAGTGACCATGCATGAAGTGAATCCATCTATAACCTGATCCCCGATTGCAATGCCATGAAGCACTCCCCTCCATCTTTGACTGTACAAACATGAAATCTCTCTGCAATTAAACAATGAGGTGAGGGGCAAATGGTTTTCGACCTTACATTGGGGGACAGCCGCCTATTATAAAACTGCTCGTTGTCTTCACTACTTCGAGATATGTGTGAGATGTATGCAGAATCCTCATCTTAGTTGAGGACACGGTAGATGAGTCATCTACCGTGTCGATGTGATACCTGTATGAATTTGGAGAATCAAATTGGCCGCAAGGTTTGCACAAATAATCAAGATCATAGTGTAGCTGCTCTTTAAAGAGCAGCTAGGCTCATTCGTGAGGGAAGGATGAGAAGAAATAGAGAGAAGACTTAAAGCATCGTAATACACGTCAACATTACATTCCCTCTAGGGAACAAGATGGGGAAGACCTGTCAGGTCAAGTTTGGATGAAATTCTAAAAAAATACTATCTGGTCCTTCAAGTCAACAGTATCGCCATGATAACATAGCAGATCGGTTTCCACTCGAGATTCCGTAGTCTACTAAATTACCTCATAATGCAATTTCTTTTGTGTCAAAATTTTAAAATCAACAAGATGGTCTTCATTACAGGAATTATCAACTTTTCTCTTTTCTTTAATTCAGTCATGACCTGACTGATAGTTCATTATGCACAGAGCTGTTTTTTTTTCTGCGTGATTTGTAAATCTTTACATCGAAGTATATGATGTTTCTTTTATTTATGTATCACTAATTCATCTTTTACTATCTATCATTTCTGTTGAACATCGACTCTTGCTTATCATCACCATCATCAACACAACAATATTGCAAGATGATGATCAGTTGATGATGAAGTTTGAATAATGATTTAGGCTACATATTGAAGCAAAACTTATATAAAACATTCTTACTATATTAGATATATGATAATATCAAAAAGCTTAATGCATATACATTGCAATCACTTTATCTAATACCTGAATAGCTTCATCAACATACAACATATTTGTACGATGACAAAGAAAAATATAATCTTGTTTGAGTTGAAAACACATCGACGTTAATAATAAGAGTTATATTGATGTTCACGTCTAAATGGATCACGCCTGATTATACCCACGCGTATTGATGTGTCACTACCGATTCAGTTTCTTCTCTTATATATCAGTTTATTCAACTTTGATATATTTAAATAAATCAATTATGAATATGAAATATACGAAAAAATACACAAAGTTTTAGTTAAAATACTTTCATATCTGTTTTCACACGGAAACTAAACTAAATATATCCTTTTTTCTATATTTAATTAGATTTCATAAAAAATTTATGACAGATAAATTTTTATTGAGGAAGTTTTACTTCTAACATAAATTTGTAAATTTCATGTTTTAGAAATGTGGGTTTATCAAGCTCACAGAACATTATTGATCAGTTTTTTATTTCCACTCAATTATAGCAACCCTCAAAAAATACGATCAAAACCATCAATTCATCCATCCTTTAAACTAATGAAATGGAATTTGAACACATTCTGTCCTTATTTCATGTACATATTCCCATCGATCTTCAGTCTGTGATGAAGGTGATAAAATTTGACGTGGCTATTGAAGTCCTTGTTAGTAGTATGTATTCACACAAATTTCACATTATGGATACGGAAAATAAACAGTACTTCCATGGAATGGACAACCGGCATTGTATGAAAAATATGTTTCCGTGCGCAGGACTGAAGTAACTGGGCGACGAAGGGAGAGAGGCAGAGAAGGGAGATAAGGGAGAGAGGGGCATCGATATCCGTGGGAAGAGTGCGAACTGCGTCAGCGGTAGCAGGGCCGTAAGCGACTGCGGAAGCGCACTGCACAGGCGATGTCGTGGAGCCCGTAGCGGTGACGGCACCGGCGACGACAGTTCCGGTGGCAGGATCTCGGTCGGGATCGGCATCGAGCGGGGTTCATACATAGCATATCCCCCGCACTGAGCTATCGGAGGCAGCCAGCGCCACCGGCGACTGGCAGCGACAGGTAACCCGGGGGGTGCATGGCATGCAATGCAGCCCCCCCACTAACCCCACACATGTGTCACCATCCATCCAGTGTCACCTGCCCAACGAGACGCCAGGAAAGGAAAGATTAGCCCCCTTCCATCCCCTTCCTTCGGAGCCCCCCTCCTTGCCCCTGCCCCTGCCCCCCCACTGCCCCCGTCTCCCTCGCCTCCCCATGCATTCGCAATCCTTCCTTCGCTTGCCTTCCCCGTCCTGCTGCCTCCCAGACCCGCAATCTCGCTTCGGGCAGAATCGCCTGCCACGCCTCGCCTCGCCTCGCATCGCCATCCACAGCGGATTCTGCGATAAATTTCGGACAATTTCTTAACGCGAGAAGCCGCAATTTTCCGATCTTCGTGCGGCGATTTGCTTTTTTTGTTTGTGTGTTGTGCGATCTTTTCTTCACGGTGATGCTGATTGGTCATCCTCAGAGGAGAGGGAGTTCAAGTGAAGCGAAGTGAGTTGAGGTGAGGTGAGGGGAGGAGAGGAGGAGGAGGTCTGGAGTGAAGCGTTGGATCATCAGCCTGAAGCGATCGGAACAGTGGTTGTCTGTTTTCTATCTTGCGCTCGCTCCGTGCGGGGCTTTGAGAGGGTTTGAGGGCCGTGGGGATCGTCAACGTGGAAGTTATTCGCAATAAAATAAAGTTTACGATGAAACCTGAGTTGAATGGAGATGCCTCGAAAGGTTAGTTTGATTCGAAGACTAGTGCTTTGCCTGGATCGCGGCGGGTCGATCGTCTGACGCACAGCGGGAAGGAAGGCTTCGAGGTTCTCCCGAGGTGAGCCTTGTAGGTTAATTTCCACTTGTGGCTCTACTTGCTTGCTTGGAATTTATGCCGCTCGGCAGGTGGATGATCCACTCATGGCCGTACTGCTGCCCGTGGACGAATTCCATTAGCTTCCGATGTTTGGTGATCGATGGGAGCAGTTTTGGTGTGGCGCAACTTCCCTGATTCTTTTCATTGTCTCTGAATTGTCGAAGCTCGACGGACGAGTTTTAGTCGAATTAGCTCTCACACCTGTCCGAGTTTCTGTTCATGCTTGCAAGCTTTGTTGTGTAACCACAATTCTCCCAAGTGGATCTCCTCCTGTCATCGGAATTGTTACCATTGGTTCGAACTGCATGCTCTTAGCCTGCCGCATTTGGAATGTTACGAGGTCGACCGTGGACGTGAATTTTCTAAATGCCATGTCTGTGTGCAGGTTTATGTTCTAGGTCTAGGCATCAGTAACTGTTGATGGCGTCGTTAACCAGAGGAAGAAGCTTTGTGGAGTCGCTCATGGGCGACAATGGGGCTCTCAAAAACCTCTTCAAAGGAAGGGATGACAAGAAACCTCATCTGGAGCGTACTGCCTCAGGAAGGAAAAAGTGGATCAAAGAGCTGTCATCTCCCGCAAATCTTGTCATTGATCGCTGTTGCAGGTACGTTGAGTCTTCTCCTTAAGGCAATGTAGTTTGGGCTTTGGCTTCGCCGTCACGAGGCAGTAAGAAGTCATGCTTTGTTCCATTTTCATGCAGTTACCCAATGCGCACAGTCGTACGTAGTAGGTATCCGCCGTTGTAGAACCTTATTTTTCCTACTTGCCACATTCCTGAGATCACCTCTCCTCTTCATCCATTTTCTCGGTGCGATTCATCGCACGCATTGCAGTGTAAGGTTAAAGCAGCAGTGATCATCTCAAATGAATTGACCTCTTCCATTCTCACATGTAGAAATTAGGGAGCTTGGGAATTTGGCTGCAATGAGAAGTACGGACCTTCAGTGCTTTCAAGCGACCCAGAAAGTAGAGCTGTCGTGGCATTGTCCGATCTGAGTTTGTGATGCCTAGATCACGCCATAGGGCTGATTTATCTTCAACAACATCTAGGTTTCTTATCGTGCTGTGTGCAAAGACTACAAAGATACCAAAACTTCCGCTATCAGGATCAAGGCGTCGAATTTTCCAACTCCATAGAGCGGTCCAAATTAGTGTATCTGAATCTCGGACTTTTTGTTCGCAGAATCCTCGACATGCAACCAGAGGAACTGCAATGTCAGTTCGAAGATGAAGCCTCTGTTTCTGCCAAGCATCCTTCACGATATGCCCGAAATCTGTTGGAGTACTGCTGCTTCAAGGCTCTCTCTGTGGAAACTCAGAAGACCGGACATCTTCAACAAAGGGATTTTCACAAACTATTTTTTGACATGATGCTTGCTTGGGAAGCTCCTGGTGCGGCAAACAAACCTGTTGTGAAGGTGAGCTTGAGTATTCGTTTCATAACATCTGTATGGAGATGTCTGGAAATAGGATAGATGCTGTGTTTGGCGTACACAAGTGAGAACAATATCTACACAACTCGGACCTGCCCTTCAACCTCATGTAGGGCCAGCATGCTCATGTACTGAAATGTGGCAGACCATCATTGCTGGTATGCAGATGCAGGAATGCAAGTTCATTAGAACTCGGGCCCTATAAAACACATGGTTTTCTGAAGCCAAGTTTTCATGCCACAGATGCTTGATTGCTTGCACATATCACAGGTTTGAGGGTATGAGTAGAGTTATGGTGTTTAATACTCGGCGAGCAGAAGACAATCCCTAGCTAGATAGTTCTCGTGCAGGACACTAAGGCAGCTTGGAGTAGACTGTATTCTGATGTCGATATGAGCGGGTGAGGATCGTCTTCGATCTATCCTGCATGACATGTGGCTTTGGTACTAGATGTGACTTGCTTCAACTCAAGTCACATGTAGGTGGAGGTCCTTGGGGCGGGGTTATCAGTGATTCTTTATTGGATTGCTATAACCCCATCCCTTCTGTTGTTTCCATTGCATGACAGATAGGACAAGGTGAAGTGGACAATCAAGAGGAGGATGATGATGAAGACTCGGCGCTTTTCTATTCTGACTTGATGCCCATGCTGGTCGATAAACATACCACTTTTTTACTTCAATTGCTTGGTTTCTGGTTTTTTATTTTTATTCTTTGGTATGATACTTCTGTGACGGCCCTATTGATTTGCAACCCTATTGCCTGGTCGTTTCTAGCACATGTTTGGTTGCAGTACGAATTCTTCGAAATACTTTAGTCAACAGACGTTGCTACTGTAAGTTTGTGGATCACGATAACTAAATTTTAGATCACGTTGGCTTGTTGCAGGTGGATGTGGAGAGTACTATCGGATCTGAAGCATTTGCAAGAATAGCTCCTGCTATACCACTAGTCGCGGATATCATAAGTGTACATCAACAGTTTGATGCACTTACATCTGGAACTGGGGGAAGATTGCCTTATCCAATCTTTGAAAAATATCTGAGTGAACTGGACAAGTATGTCACAACTTCATGCCCGTTCTTATCCCTTATCCATCCTTTACTCTTTATAAAAATGTGCAATCGGAGTTCCTGTGACATCCGTAATGTCCGCAAGTTGACGTGCTGTTGCTACTTCTCTTCGTTTCAGGTCAGTCAAGGATATCAAACGTCAAGCCACCGCATCGCTTGCCTCCGCTCTTAAGCTCAGCAAAGGAGAAAGTGTGATAGAGATTGATGGAACTGCTACCACGCAGCCCGTCCTACAGCACATTGGTGTATCCACCTGGCCTGGTATGCTGAGTGAATTTTAATACCACAAAGTTGGGGCTGTTCCTATAATATGTTGTGCAAAAGAGGAGTTTGTCAAGTGTGATCCTTCTCTTAGCAGAAATATGCAAAACAAGGCTATTTGTTTTAATATTTGCGCCTGCTCTCATTTTCTCTTTCCATGTCTCTAGGGAGGTTGACTTTGACGGATCAATCGCTGTACTTCGAAGCGACTGGGGTGGTATCTTACGATAAAGCCAAGAAATTTGACTTATCAGCTGATCTGAAGCATGTTGTCAAGCCGGACTTAACCGGTCCGTGGGGAGCACGTCTTTTTGACAAAGCTGTAATGTACAAGTCAAGTACCACGTAAGTGTTAGTATTTTTGGAAACATCAGCCGTGGATTGGCTTTGCGCAGTTAAGACTAGCTTGAAGAGTGCTACGTCTGAATGAATGTTTTCAGATATTTACTGAGTTTCATCGGTGGACTTTTGATTGATATAACCCGGTTGCCTGCAGTGTTGAACCAGTTGTTCTCGAGTTTCCAGAACTGACAGGCCGTACACGAAGGGACTACTGGCTTGCTATCATTCGCGAAGTGGTCGCCGTTCATCAGTTCATCCGGACTTTTCGCCTGGACGGCGTTGGCCGTGAAGAAGCCTTAGCGAAGGCGATTTTGGGAATTGTAAGGCTGCGGGCTACTCGCGAAGTGTTTCATTCGCTACCTGTCAGGCCAGAAGCACTGCTCACGTTTTCATTCGCTGATGTGATGCCAGCTGGAGATATTGTTCTGAAAGCTTTGGCAGAGCAGCTGCAAAATAAATGTTCAGTTCCTCCATCCTCGACCTTTGGGGAATCAATCTTTGGAAAGCAGGAAGGAAAGGTTTACGCTGGTTCAGCGACAGCAGCTGTGGGCAATTTGGGAGCAGCCTCTCCGAAAAGCCCAGGGGTTTCAAGGGAAGAAGCTATTGCTGTCGGCGAGGTTCTAATAGGTGAAGCCACTCCTTTAGAGAAAGCTGTCTTACATTCGAGAGACAACTCCAAGAAGGTGGAGTTAGCGAAGGCAACAATAGATGGAGTGAAAGTGGATGGCATTGGAACAAACATTGCTGTCATGAAGGTACGAACGCTTTATGGTTTGTTCTGTCGTATTTGTACAATGGAAAGTTCAGATAACGTTTCTTGCTGTATTTGATATGTGTACGCTTGTGCCTCGAGGGTCATAACTCGCGGAGGGGTAGCTGCCAGTTCGTAATCAAAACGAACTGGACGTGTACTTTGTTTATTTACTCATGTTCTTATTATAAAACATTTCTTTGTTTCCTTCATGCAGGAGCTCTTGGTGCCGCTCGCAAATTTTCAAACTTGGATTCAAGGAATTTTAGAGTGGGAGGACCCTGGGAAATCAGTTACTTTTTTAGTGGTCATGGGTTATATCATTTATAGGTACGACATTTCTGGAGCCTTTATGTATTCTCGTGGGTTTTTTACGACGAATCCTATGTTGAGATGTATCCAACCGTGTTTAAGTTTATGATAGTCAAATGTCGTAAAGTTTCAGAGCTCTTGAGCTCTCTTAATTCAGAGAAGGTTTCACTTGTGCTTTTTAATAATCTTCGATGTACTCGTTGTCTTCGTTGACGAAGTCAGTACCAATCCGGGAGGACCTGTTGTTGAGTCTTGTTACTTGGCATTGTGCAAGTATGCTCCAAGTCAGCCTGCTTCCTTCCACTTGCCCAAGACTTAACTTTGCTACTCTGTGCGTCAACAGGGACTGGCTTGGCTACATTGTGCCTCTTGTACTTCTGTCGATGGCAAGCTACATGCTGTGGTTACGACATTCTGGAAGAGGGGACGATTTCAATGAAGTTGTTGTGCCAACACCACCTGCTCAGAACACTGTGGAGCAACTATTAGCTCTGCAACAAGCTTTGTCTCAGCTAGAAGGACTGCTGCAATCAGGAAACATTATGTTACTTAAACTCCGGGCGCTTTTCTTCTCCGTGCTTCCGCAGGTGCTTCATCCTTTTATGCTGCTTGCTGGATCGGGTTAAGAGTAGTTACTATCTCCTGATAGCTCGTTGGTAGAGCAAAATTTGTGCTCGTCAAGTGATGAATATGGAAGTTGTTTTGAAGCTTATATGTTTCACCGTTGGTTGTGGTGGCAGGGTCACTCACAAATGACGAATCATGTTATAGCTGGTTTGGTGATCACTGCGTTCTGTTTGACAATCCTGCCCTTGAGAATGATAATTCTTCTCCTATTTTTAGATTTTTTCACAAGGAACTCCGTAGTTCGGAAAGAAACAACTGAGCGGTGGTTGCGTAGGTTCAGAGAATGGTGGTACAGTGTACCAGCTGTACATGTACGATTTATCAAACCTGAAGGGGAAAGGCAGAATTGATTTTTACCGTAAGCTGTAGGAAAGGTTGTGAATCGCTCGCTGGTGAGAAGAGGTACTTGTAATATAAGCTCTAGAATCGTCATTTGTAGACAGACCTTGTACAGGAGAAGTGAAAGTAACATGTTTCGTCGACCTTATGGAAAGAATCACCGCGAATGTCATTAGCATGCAACCCTACCTGGGTAGATCGCACGTGCTGGGATTTTCAGTTGTAGTGGGGTGTGAAAGTTATGTAGAAGATAGTGAATCTCCTGTGAGTGTACACATTCTACCCGCAGTCAAGGATGGCATTTTGCATCTGGCATGGCACTGATGAATAAAATTCAAAGTTGTTTACGAGCTTCAAAGCGAGAAGGCTATTTTGACTGTGAAATACATGGCCATGTGGGGTTTGATACTGCGCTTGTTTCCGCAAATGTTATGTTTGTGACTTAAGAGCGGGTACCGCAGAATCCCGTTAGGTGTTTTGACCTGAGCAGAGATAGAGTTTATCCGGGACATTGTGGGATGAATCTGGATGATAGGAAAGCAATCCAGGACACTTTCGTGAGGATTGTAACATGTACATAAAGCACACTTAAATGAAAGTTACACTATTGGTGTACATTCCTTCAGTTTAAACATCGATTTTTCTAGTCACTAACTTCTTCAAAATATCTTTTCTGTGCCAATATTTTTATATATTTGTTTATAAAATTGTTATATGAATAACGGTTGCATAAAAATTTCCTACCGCAAAATGGGGCACTATCTTGTTTAAAAGGGTCCTAGACTAGAAAAATGTTGTTTCGGTAGCACACGCTCATTTTTTAACAATTGTGTTTTGGAAATAAATCTGTTATTTGGTAGACGAAGTGATTTGATCACTCCAATCTCAACACGAAACCTTCAATATACATATAATAGTTCAATTATTTATAATCTGTGATCACAATCCAAACAGTAAATAAAGTCCTGAAGGTTAGATGCGCTAATCAGATCTAGCATATAGATAATATCTTATCGGTTAAAGGCTTTACAAAAAGGATACTATGTACTCTTTTTGAAAATAATACTTGACATTGTATTAATTAAATAAAACTTACACCAAGTAATGGTTTTTCAAGGGTTTGCATGGCATGTGTATCAAGATCAAAACACTGTGTACATTTATTAGTTATTATTTATTACTTCATTATATCTCAAAATAGGATGGAAAGAGCTTTTTTACACAACTAGCTGGGCTTCAGGAGTTTTATGATATTAAATTAATGTTATCAGTTTTATTCTATTTTGAGCACGTATAATTTTCCCCGGAGCAATTAAGCATGGACGTTTCGTCATCTTCCTCTTGCTCCAAAGTTGTTGCAAACCAACGTATCAACATCAGATCATACAAAAAAGAGCATACTTGAAACTTGAACATAATACTTCTGATTATTTTTACTCGAGGAAGACCAAAAATGGACAATTTGGAATTTCGATTCTGATTCTAATATATTAATAGATCTGCTTTGCTCGCCATATGTACAACAACAATTTAAATTCGAACACTGATAGTATTCTTACTACTATCTTCAATCCACCTTTAGTAAGTTTGTCCAAATAATATATCGAAGCTCTACGTCCACTAGTGTACTGCGCTTTGACCGCAAGGTTGGGTTATTAGATTTATTTTACCTTCTCAACTTTCCAATGTAGGGTCTGAAAGAGAATCTGAAAATGGGGGAAAAGGAAAGGAAAGTTCCTCACGATATAACTACTTAGAAAAAACTATCAACTGACAGGAAAGTTATATTTATTAAGCTGGAACTATCATTGCCTGAATCCTGAAAATAATCTCTACCGTAAGAGTGGCTACTGTGGATTTTCTCGTTGACGACATTCCATTGACGGTTTGGACTTCGGATAATTTCACTAACATAAGCTCCGCTCTAAATACGGTCAGACGACAGAGGCCGTTGCATCCTCAACTCCCGCACACGGAGAGCTCGATGGCCTTGTCAGTTGGTTATATTTCAGCGCACTCTGACGTTGCATCTACTCTTCTACTTCCTTGCCATCTCCTTTCCTGTGCAGCTATCGTACAGCTCCGTGAAACGACTTCCCCGTGAAGAACAATTGTTTGCATGGCCGCCTAACGAGGACATGGTAAGGTTCCCAAGGACACCGTTTCAACAGAATGTGATCATCGTCACAGAAACACGATCATTCAAGTCTCATCGATGAGAACACGAAGAGATGAGACTGAGTGCCACATGAGAGAAAGCCAAGTCGGACAAAATGAGGCGAAAAAACGGAGGAATTTACAAAGTTATGGTGTTCCACAATGATAATGTTGCTACTTGGGTCTAATCTCTTCTCCAATGAGCTGCGAGACTGGCAGACACTTCCGTCAACCGATCGAACAAGAAATCGAACCAAGAAAGGCGAAATGTGTCGTCCTTTCCGCTCGGCAGTGAGCAAAAACCTAAATTACAGTTCCAATGCGAATGATGATGATGATGACCAAGGCCCAACTGTGATCAGCAAACCGAGAATCCTCGAGCCGTCGTCGTCGTCGTCGTCCACTGACCGACCGCACGCTCGAGGTTCTCGCAAAAATTGAGGGGCAAACAAACTTGCCCTCTCGATTATTTCTAGCGTCTAGAGATTGTTTGCAACTAGCGTTGCAGCTGTAGTATCTGCACATCGCAGAAAGCGCGTGAGGATCAGATCTCAGATCAGATCAGATCAGGGGCAGGGCAGCGCAGGGCAGAGCTGTTCTGACACTCCAGCAGAAGGGACGCATCCTCAGATCGTTTCTCTGTACATCACTAGTCATGTGCCTTCCCAGCACCTCCCTCACTCCTCACTCCTCACTCCCCTCCCTGACTCACTCACTTAATCAGAATCCTGATCAGAGTTCCCATCCGGCCCTCTAATGACGGACATCGCTCTTCTCCCCCATCTCTGTCTATCTGACCGTAAAGCTCGTCACCGTCCGTCAGGAATGGCGAGAGCAGCCACAGCTCGTGAGCAGATCCAGAGGCTTCCCCTCCGGCTCCGCGATCTTCCGACCGACCGAGAGCTTCATCAGACTCCCCCCAGCAGCATCAGCAGCAGCAGAGCTCCAATTGGACATCGGATCAGCGGATTGGACATCCAATTGGACATCAGAGTTGCCGGATCAGCGGAAAGGGCGTCGAGGCTCGCCGTTGAAGGAGAGCGACGAGAAGTCGGCGCTCTTCATGGTGGGCCGGCCGCTCGAGCCATTGTTGCTGTACGAGCGCAGAATCGACCGGGCCGACATGGAAGTGTGGTTGTCGGCGGAGGCAGCTGCAGCAGAATTGTTGTTGCAGCTGACGCGCATGGATTTGCCCGAGCTGCCGAGCTTCTCGACCGAGAGGGGCCCGGATTTGTGGATCTGCTGCTGCTGCTGCTGCTGGTTGGAGTTCCAGTCGGCCAAGGGGGTCGAGTTGGCGCTGCGCTTCTTGCTGACCTGCGCGTTCTCGTCGAACAGCGGCCGTTGGCGCGGCGTGCTGTGCGACCGCGACTTGGCCTGCGCGCACTTGGTAGCCGCCATGTAGGACCGCTTGCCCGACTGCATCGAGTACGTGGCCGCGCTCCGCGCCCTCTCCTCGCGCACCGTCTCCTTCGCCCTCTCCTCCCTCAACGTCTCCCTGTCCCTCTCCCTGTCCTTCTCCTTCTCCCTCTCGCGCTCGCGCTCGCGCTGTCGATCCTCCGTCTTGATCACGGACCTGCTGCTGCGCAGAGATTGCGCCGCGGCTTGCGCTTGCTGCGCCGATGCTGATGCTGCAGCTTCAGCAGCAGCTGCTGCAACTGCGGCTGCGTGAGCTTGAGCGACGAGGCTCGGGGCGGATCGAGGAGTAGAGGACGACACACTTCCGTCTCGATCCGAGAGCTGATCGTAGCTATGGAAGGACGACATTCGCATGCTGGCCTGCGATCCCAGATTGGAGTACTGGCGAGTGATCAATTGCGCTGGGCATGGAGCAGCCGCAGCGACGGCTGAGCTGCTGGGCGAAGTTCTGCAGCTGGCCGTGGCGGTTCTGCTCGCCCATGGCTTCAGTCCCCGTTCGCACCTCTCGGATCTCTCCCTCTGGATGTCGATCGGCGGAAGCTCGTCGTGCACTGATAATTGCTGGACTGACTCCGCCGCGTCTCTGTTCGAGACCGGCGTGCGATGCTCCCATGGCCTTGCTGCCATCCACCTCTCCATCCAGCTCCAGCCCCAGTGTCGATTCTCCGTTCCCGCCTCGTCGAAGTACACTTGCTGCGGCCTCGAATTCGCCCTCCACTGCACAATTCCAGCAATTCCTCCTCCATCAATCACCCAACATACGAATCTGCTGAAGCACTGGGCTTCTGTTGCACCCGTGAAAAACAATTCTCCTGAAGCTAAGCAAGTTGAATTTCTGCGCCCATCATCTCACACACAACACACACTCACCTGATGAGAGAAGGCATAAGCCATCGCTCTCTCCCTCTTAATCGCTCCGACTTGCTTCTGCTGAAGCTTCGACTGAATTTCCTCCACGGATCCAGTTGTTGCGCACCATCCTTGCTGCAATTTCCAACATGCACAATTTAGCTCACCTGCTGCACGAGCTCGAGATTCCACGCAGCTACAACAGCGAGACCCATCGACTGTACCGACGGAGCTCTCGCGAGCGGCATGAATGCTCACTGGCCGCCAGACGGAACTCACATCGAATTGGGTAGCCCCGAAATCACGCGAACAGGAAGAAGACTGCGCATGCCGAGCGGCATTGATTGAAAGCTGACGAGACACCAGATTTCAGGAGGTAGGCAGGATGGTGGCATGCATACCTCGGCTTCAAGACGCAGAGCCTCGCGGCGGCGGTGTTGATCGATCTTACGACGCACTGCCTGCCCCTCCTTGGACATTCGGACTCGGCGAGCTCGCACTCGAGCTTGGACCCGCACCAAAGCTTGCATGCAGCGCAGAGTAATGGCGGCCTGCCTTCTCACCGCATGTCCTCTGACCAGAGCTTGCAGCCTCACCAGGCCCTTCAATGCCTTCAGCGCTCTCCTCGCCTGCATCAGCCAAAGTACGGGTGGCGTTAGGACGGAGCACTCGAGGCCATTGATGCACTGATGAGAAAAAAGCTCGAGAATTGCAATTCATTCATTGCACTGAGGCCATGCAGAAATGCGGGAGCAGGATCGTACCAGGAAGCCACGGAAAGCTGTCTGGATGCGGATGGAAGCGAGCTCCTCCTTGAGCATTTGGAGAGCTACTGGCGAGTTTTTGAGACGAACCACAGCAGCAGCAACCTTGACAGGAGTGGGATCTGCCTCAATTTCCACAACTGCTGGCTCATCTGGCACATCCTCCTCCGCTCCGTCGTCTCCATCTGATGCCTCTTCCACATCCTGATAATCATCCACAGATGATTTCCACAGGCTCCACCGCCGAGACGGTTTCTCATTCGCCGACTTCTTTTGGAAACCAGCCCGAACATCCTTTCCCTGCACCCCCACGCAGACATCGTCACTACATGCCACCATATTTCCTAACTTCTCGAGAAGCACCGAACCAGAATCGAAAAGGAACTGAATTGCATGAAATTGAATGGAACGCAAGGAAATGCAGGAATCCTTACTTCCTCCTTTTCAGCTGAAGAGGATTTGAAGTTCGCACTGAGCTTCGACAGAATGCGTCGAGGATTGGTGGGAGTTTTCTCCTCCTTCTCGCCGCCCTCAGATGACTCCTTGGCCTCCTTCTCTCCAAAGCTCGACTTCGATCTCTTCACGCTTATCAGAGTCTTCAACCACTTGCCAGAGGCACCCATCGTTGTTGCACTGCTATCTCACCAAGGTGCGAGCTGGCGCCACCTCACTCCTGACTCCCGGCAAGCTCCTCGAGCGCGAGTCTCTATCTGCCAGAGAGAGATCAGACAGATTAGCCCAGCGTCAGAAATCATCCGAATGCACGATATACATTACTCGTCACACTCTGCTCACATTCGACCCAAATCTGGCCATCACATGCTGCCCAGTCCATGGAGCCTCGAGGACTTCCTTGCTTCAGCTCAGAGATTGGACCAAACAGAGCCTCGGATCCTTCTTCGTCGAATAGTCAAGTCAATCAGAAACCGTGAGAATCTGACAATCTGGCTACGTTGCTCCACAATCTCTGTGAACTTTTGGAAGGAAGAGTTCTATTTCAGGGGGGTGGCAAATTTAAGCTCGACCTGGAAAGGAGGACATCTCGCTATTCATAGCTTCGGATTTGAACCGACCAAACGCGGCAACCAAAGACTACTCCGGAAGAGACGACGCCCAGGACACAATCCGCGAGACTCGCGTATGCTTCAAATACCTCGCCGCCTTGTGTGGCTTCAATCCAGCAAGCCAGCGAGGGAAGCGAAGGGAAGCTGGCGGACGAATCTGAAACTCGAGGTCTTACCAGAAATTTTGAAACTGGGCTGATCCCTCATTCTTCCTTCCTCGTCACTAGCACCCGCGAGCTGCTCTGTTGCATAATAGCACCTCCTCCATGCACCTGATCCCGACCGACGGGGAACGACACTCCTCGAGAAGGCAGTCTCGAGATTCCACGACCGTCGGTGATGAAGGGGTCGGCGTTCTCGTCACCAGGTCTAGCAGTAGCACTCGATCCTCCTGTCGCTCCCGGCGCGACTCGAGAGCTCGCTCGCTGCCCTCCTAGGCTCTTGTTGCAGGGGTGTCCGCCATCGAGGCTAATGTGGAACAGCTGCTCTCTGTCCAGTGCAAAGGACAAACACGAGATTAAATCAGCTGAATATCTCCCCGCACCTGCCACACTCTACGAGCTCGAACACCCCTACGAGCCCTCAGCTATTTACACTCGCCCCCGACCTTTGAACGAAATGACAGCGTAGGGCGCCCGAATTACATCGCGGTTATTAGGTGAGGCGGTTCCATCGTCTCGGTCACGAGGTGGTGCAGGTGCTCCGATACTTCACGGATTTTCTGGGGAGGAGAGCAAAGCGAGTGTCGGTTTCAGAGCGTGGGTTTCACATTCTTCTGTCCATCGGCGCAAAGTAAAGTGAGCTGATGCTTTTACAGTGGAACGTGGGGAGTTTATGATCGGGGCACTCGCGCACCGGCGAACAGCTATGGTGGACGAGACAGGACAACTACCTGCCAGGACGAGGGCGACACTGTGCGTGGGAGCAAAGAATGGAGGTAGGCATGGGCTTGAGCAGCAGCAGCTGCACTAATCAAACGGAAGATCTCGACGAGCCTGACAGGCCGGAGTCTGATCCTCACGTTCGCCCGTCGGCAGAGAGAGAGAGAGATGGACAAACAGAAAGAGTGTGTGTGCTCTGTTAGGAGGTGGATTGCGAGAGGTCCATTACAGTGCGTCGACTCTGTGCGAGCGTGACAAAGGCCGTGACTGAATCGACTGAAATTCTGATACGCGACGCTGCGTCGTCATCACTGCTGCACCGACCGTCAGAGGCACGAACATGGTGGATTCATTGCTGACGTCGGGGAGAACTGAGCAGAGGTTTTTCGACGTGTGAGAATGGTCGATCATTTCCTTCGACCGCAGTGACCAACCAATTCCTTGGGCTCGCTTCCACTAGAGATGAATGCTGATGCGAGAAACGGGCGACATTTGGAATGGTAATTTCCAGCCAGTTTGAAAAACGAAGAGCGAGGTGGGTACCAGAGATCACCGATGATACAACCGGGAGCTCTGTTGACTAGCGCTAGTGCGTAGCATGTACAGAAGGAGTGAAGAGGGTACTGGAGCACGGATTGGGTCAGATCGAAAGAAGCAAAGAGTACAAACTCAGGCACGATTGTGAATTCGAGCTAGAGTAGGTTCTAAGGAAGACACTCAACTCGTCGCAGAATCAGCTGAAGGCGCCGCTCACGATCCACGAGATTCAGCGTTCATATCGACGCTGATGCTCCTGCCAGTCCGCACTCCTGCAAGCCTCGAAGCGCAAGTCCGGAATGAGCTCTAGGACGAGCTCATCATCACGAGCCCAAGCCAACTCGAACGAAGAGAAGGCAGATAGATAGATACCAACGCTGCAGTCCGAGCAGCAAGTCCTCTAGTGAGAGAAGTGAGTGAGTGAGTGAGTGAGATCAGTCGAGTGTCCCCATTCCCCCTACACTTCAAAACTTGCGCCACGCAGATTCAAACTCGCACCTTTTGGCAGGGCCGCCTATCTCCTCTCGACAAGCTACAGCAGACAGCAGCCGGCCTGGCCTGTCTGCCTGTCTCCCGGTGCTCTGAATGAGATCAGACCGAAGTTCACTCAAGCTGGAGCTGAAGCTGAAGCTGGAGCTGGAGCTCAAGTCAGGTGGCGGTGGTGGTGGTGCAGCAAGGGGATGATGCACTGATCTCACATTCAAACCTCCATATCCCGCCTCTCGGCCCACCCGAACCGCCCGACCATAGGGAGCAAGCAAATCACCAGCTCTCAGACATTAGAAAGGTCCCCTTTCGTCGGGTCCGTCTGTCACTCTCTGCCCAGCTGCGATCGTCTGTTGTGGCCCCTGGTGGTCGGTCCACGGACCCCACCAGTCAGCCAGCCAGCCCCTCCAACCACGTAGGCCCCGCTCCAACCGCGTACGCTCTAATGCCGTCGCCTCCACAAGCGAGCGAGAGACGGATTGCGCACGAGTACAGTACAGTGACCGACGTACACGGTACAGCCTCCGGATCCTACGGAGCTCCCTGCCCTGCCCTACCCTACGGTAGATACGACGGTCCTGCGGACGCGGGCGCTCGTGTACTACCAGTCCGGCGTATGGACCAAAACCTAATCCGTCGTCTACGTCTCCCACCGGAATGAGGCGCGAAGGCCCTCGCAGCCTCAAGCAGGATTTCAGATCTTGGCCGTTGACCTTCCTTTTTCAAACGGGTGGCTTTTCAACGCTTCGGATGTTCCTCCTCTCTTGACTCGAGTCCTCCTCCCCTCCGCTGCCAACCCCTCTTCCTCCCCCCCTCACCTCACCTCACCTCGTGTTGACAATGTCCGCATCCAACGACCCTCCGACGCCCTTCTTCTTCTCATCGGACAGTGTCAACTCTGGGCCTGGAGATGGAGCTCGAGCTTTTCGGATGCTGCACACTTTTTTTTTCTAGCGTGGGAGGAGATTCTTGGGGAAGAGAAAAGGGGGCGGGCAGTAATCATGTTTGTAACTCCTGTGTGAGGGTGTCATAAATTCTCTGTACTGGTATTTGCAAAACGAGTATGCCCTGTGCATACGACGGTGGTCCTCGTAATGAATCTTCCGCAACTGCGGTGTAGAAGTGGGCGAGGCGTCAGTTACCCGGCGGATGGTCAAGACGCGGCCGCAAGCAGTGCACGAATTTAGAGATAATGGTGTCCCGCGTGTCTCGAATTTTGAATGACCCTTGTACACACATAGATCTTACATTTATCCCCCCTCTGAATGTCCAGTTCACAAAAGCATTTCTGATTCTGATCTTCTTCTTCTTCTTCTTTTCTCTCTGCAAGAATAAATTTCTAGATTGTTTCTAAGGCTCGGAGGAGAGTTCCTCGAGCTGAACGTAGAAACATAGACTGTCAGTTTGTTTTCCTCACGAAGAAGAATATGAAATAGATGACAAGGGGCTCAGATGCGCACCAAGAGACGAATCATCACATCCTTGACGGAAGCTCTCATTACACACGTTAGAAACTTATAATACTACCTACCTTCACATGCGTAATATATTCGCAATAAAATTTTCATCATAGATGGCATGAGTTCATGCTTGTGAGCTCATGTTTCATAATATTCAAGCTACGAAAATGCTCTAGACGAGGCTTCATCTTGTCTGCGGTTACCTTCTGAATAATTTTCTCGATTAGTTCTTATCTACCTAAAATTCGTACAACAGTTTCGATCAGAGGTATATAGCACAAGTATGGAATCCGAAGGCGACATGCTTATCTGTCTATCGCTATTTATCGCCACCGAGAAAGGGGGAAAACAGCGGTCATTTTCACATAACTTACTTTAGAGTGGTCTATGAAGTCAGCAATGACTCTCGAGAGGAATTATATACCCTGATAGAAAGTTCAAAAGCTGCTCTTATTATCTAATATATTTAGAAGATTTTGGAAATATGAGCTTCGTCTGCTGTGTCCAGTTGTAAACCAGTCAAGATGCAAATGCTCGGACTGAAATAAGTTTAGAAAATATAATGCCATAAAATGTTGCATATGAACATTTAGCCTTTTCGGGGATTTTGTTTGTATACTCTTTTCAGTTTGTTCTCATGTGAGGAAAAGGCTTTCTCGAACTTCGGGGAGAACGGAAGTACAGAGGAGCGTATTATTGAAGGTCCCCACCTTCGTATCCAAATGAGAAGAAATGAGAAAAATAGAATGTATAAGTATTCGTGTATAATGCCAAGTTTAGGTTCCTATTGTACAGTACCCACATTTCATACGTTGTAGATACGTATGTCTCGACCTGATATCGACTTATATGCGCCCAGTGCTCATTCAATGTCGACATTCTGCGCTGTGATTTAGAAACAAAAATGAGGTGACGATTTTTCATTTCCAAGTATCGGTAATCATCACAATGATTGAAATAGATTTTCAATTATATGTTTCAATTTGCTGAAAATATGAAGCGGGACAACGAAGCTCAATTTTAAAAGTCTGAAGGAGAAAGCGCTTTCCCAAAAAGGGGTCACAGCAGGCTTTCTCGAGTAATAAAATCTTATCTTCAGAATCTTCAAAACTCTTGAAACTTGTGACATGTAGGCACAACTTTCAAGAGTTTGAAGATTCTCAACGTTGTGACAATATGTCACGGACTAAAGCAAATTCCTCCACTTTTATAAAGTGAGTGATGATTCAGGTTGCCCTATGGAATTCCTTCTTTTGAAGGGTACCCATTGTCCACGTTGCTGAAACCTTGGAAAAGAAGACGATCTCTTATTACGGACAAACCACGACATGGAATTCCGTGCTGCATCTGATTTTAATTTTTTGCAATAACTTCGTATAAATATCACACAATGAATACAAAAATATTAGGAACATATCAGAACACAGAATTCCGTGCTGTATCTGATTTTAAATGTTGCAAAAGCTTTACTAACATCTCACACAATAAATACACCATATCTGTCCGGATGAGAGTTGTGGAGATATCTTATTCGGTTCAGATCGTAAGAACTTAGAGTACTGTACTATATTATGAAACTATGAAAAGGTCTTATCTACCAATAATTTCCCAATATTATACGGTCAGAAAGATTTTTCCTCCATGCCTGACTGTATCCAAATATCCACTGGTTTCAGAATCTTGCATGCGATGACCGTAGTTTTCCTTTTCACTGTCTGCTCTAACCAGTGAGAAAAACACAACGAAGTAAGCACAACAATAACACATCCCATTAAAAGACACCGATTAGATCGAAATCTTTAAGACGCTGAAATATGTCACAGGGAGAACCGAAATACGCAAGCTACAAGAGAATCTGCAATGCTGAAGAATAATTATTCCCAAAACGGATCAAGAACGTACAAGGTCTTGATTATATCTAATGTCCATACAACTACAGTATTTGATATGCTGAGAGTAAAGGGAAGTAGCATGTCAATCCCACGGACGCCACAGGTAGATACATCCACATGAGGAGTAGATAAATCCACCGTGCATTACAATGAGAGATTATCATTAACTTATATCGCATCTACCACACACTTGTTCAGAATCATGAACGTGCTGTCATCCCAGCCACAAGAAATCGTTCTAAGACAATGGACATAGTTTCACGTTTAGTGCCTTCGATTTCGTAGATAATCATTCGGTAGACATTCATGTGTAGGAGTATCGTTAGTGTCGGGGAGAGATTGGAAGAGTGAAATGAGTAGTTGTTCATTCATTATGAGATCATACTTCGTCCAAATTTGAAATGGAATAAACAATTATCTTAACTTTTAAAACCTTGTAATTCACCAAAAGCAATCATTCTTTTGCATCTCCCTAATTTCACTGCAAGAAGCAATATAACTTATTTACTTGACTATAAGAATAACATATCTATGAAAGAGGTGTGAGAGTGATTGAAATAACTCCTTGTAAGTGTAGAACGATCATCTATATCATGACTAAGATGCTCATACATTATATACTGTAAGCTCCTTGAGTATCAATGAAATATGTGCTTAAAGAATAAGAAAATATATTATATCATAATAATTAATTTGATGGATACTGCAATAACCTTAATGTTGTTTTTTTACCATAAGGCAATACAACAGTATTCTTAGTATCGTTATTCGTATATAAAAATTTGTGGCTTCTGCCGCTTTGATATAATTGCCAGGTTGTTTCGAAATAATTTCAAATGAAATGCATTTGTTTAATATGCCCTTATCGTGTACTCTGGCACTTTTGGTTTAACGTGTCAAGATGTAAAAACATTGCTCCTTAGTTTAGTTCCATATTCATGTATGATTAAAAAAGCTAATTTTTTCATTGATAAAATGCAGATATGGTTCGATGATTCATTATTAATTTTTAAAAGTTTTGATGTATTGTTAGATGTGAAGAATCTAAATGTGATATTTTCATTTACTCTCCTACAGTATTGCTTGTCATCCCTAAATTTTCTTCTTGAAACTAAATTTTCAAATGTAATTCTATCACCTTTTAAAGCCTTGTTTTATTTGTGTTGAATATAAAAGCACCCATGAGATGTCTTTTAGTATCTTGTATGGGGCAGGATTTCTCCATACACAATTTTTTCAGTTGACAGGATATGTTGTGTTTCGAAAATTTACACCTCACGCATTTTTTTCACCTGATGATGTAGAATTATTCGAATCATTAAAATGGATCAAACATTTACAAAAAGTCTACAGTCGCTTAAAGGATCCAGCCAAACATTGTACTAGTAAGGCTTGTATATGGTTTTGCATCATAACTTTGAGTCTCATCGTATAACATCTCTAAGTTAATGAGATCCTGCATTCATCTAGACCATCGAAATGAATCTTCATTTCTCACTCGCAACCAATCTAACCAAATATCTCTACCAGTAGAGATATTTGGTCAGATGCAATCAGTCCATGTGACTTGTTTCTTTTTTGAAGTACCACCATGATATCTACTTAAGACATCATTGTGGTTAGGTTGTTTGTTGTTGTGTAAGAGTTCAGACATCTCAATTGGAACGATATCGAAATCCTTCATACTCGACTTTTTCAAAGTAGATGAATAAGTTTTTTTTAAAACAAATGCAAATCAATGTGATCGTATTGTATCACACATGATGTAATTTACTGACAGAGATTATCAGACTAAATGACATGAATGTCAAAATATATATCTACATCTAACATTGTGATAATGTTACATCTCATGTAAGAAATATTTAATTCAGAAGAAGTACTTTACAGTCAGTATCTAGTAAAAAATCGCATGATGTAATGATTGCAAATATGTTGCATTAACATATAACCAACTAATCTAAATTAAAATTAATTGAAACTTATTAAATGAAAGGATACGAGATAGATTCATGAAGAGATCGGAGACCAGCCCCATACTACCCTTCGGTCTCATCCTCGTACGGGCGGATCGGGTTTTGCATCCTTTTTCTTATGTTGCTGGCATTTTCCATTAACTCCAGAATTGCAAACCGCATCATTACAGTATGGCTGCCATCAGTAGCGCAGGGGGATCATTACACGATCAAGCAGATTAGTCACATGCCCTCTACGCTCTCTCTCGCATGTCCTACGAGGCAGTGACAGTTCGTAAACCGAAGCAACTGGTCATCCTTCGAGACCTGGAAGTTTCACGAGATCACGGACACGGACGTAACACACACGTGCTCCGTCACGGAATTCTGCAGTTCCTTCGCCGGAGCTTCGGTCTCTACCCTACCGAGAAGCTACGTGGTTGACGGGGATGTCACTCACTGACGTACGATTATCCTCCACGGGACATAAGTGGTCAACGAGATGGCGCGAGCGTCCGATCCTCATCGAACGGCTGAAATTGAATCGGCTCCGAGACTGCGTCAGTTACATTTATCCTGAGTGTGATTCGAGGGCGGGAGTTAATGGAATAGTCAGAAAGTGAACAATTTGAATTCCGCATTGAATTGCGTGTCCGCAAGACAAAGGCTTTGGACCGGGTACGAAGGATTGACTGTTGTGCAATAGTGATCTTGACTGAGGAGGATGTGACACGTGGCTGGTGTTTATGTTCCAGTTTCAGTTATTCGACCCTGATAGCCGTGCGCGGGCATTAGTACCTCTCTCTCCATATTTCGATATGGCATTCATCTCGAACGAGGCCACGGTCACTTACCAAACATAAAGGAGTTCATGCAGACGAGATACAGTATTGCGGTGCAATTCAGTGACCTGCTCGCTCCATTAATTTCTCTTATGCTCATAAGTTTCACACGACAAATGGATCTAAAACAGTCTCTTAGCCTTTTTGAACATTCATTAACTAGAGGGTCCCCGGGTCATGGGATTATAATTCGTAGGATTCATAGTGGGTACCTCCTACACTTCATAGTGGGCAACTTTTGATTCCGTTGCAATAATTGTCCAATCTTTTATTTCATGAATAATGGCTTTCACCCCAATTTTGGAATATCCCAAGAGGATGCCTTTACTTTGGAAAACCTTAGATTCGACTCAATCTACCTACAAACAATTTAGATAGTTTCTGTGTTAAGCTTTTATGCTAAAGACTTCACTTTTATGGTTTTTTAATGATTAAATTTTGAATCTCTTAAAGAGTAATAATTTATATGCATTTGGTCATTTCTCTTATCATATTATATTATAGAACAAATATGATCAACTACATTATATTACATGAAAAAAGACTCAAGAATGGCGTCTCTTTTCAAGGGCATGAATCTCAATTTTGAATCTTATTAAGTTTTATAAGTCAACTACTTGTCACTTCAAACTAATGATGATCATGTTTGAACATAAACTATCTACAATCCAAACCTGATACTAATATTCTGATGTTCAGATTAAATGATAAAGATAGATATATTTATATAGTATATGAACATGTAACAAATGAAATTATGGCAATCGATAATGCATAAAAATATTTTTAAGGGTAACAATCCATTATCAAATGCAGTTTATGGCAGAAATAATATCATGAGATTTATATCGTCATGTATTATCAATTAATCAAAAAAATATTTCTGAATCATATCAATATAATTCATTAATTTGAAGAGAAATTGAAAAAATATCGTTATATTTTACATTTTTTGTAAGTTGATTTTTTTTCCAAAACAGATGATTTCTATGCTCTGTTTTGAAAACAAAATGTCAACTTATAAAAGTTTTATACCATCAAGTTTTCATATTTGTTTTTATACGATTTCTTCAGCTCTCAAACTATCTCAACATCTAAATGATATGTTGTCATCAAATTTGATTATGGTGGTATTCTTAATCAAAACTTCATGATTAAGAAAAACAGACCAAACTCATAAGTTTTTGATTTCATATACCTGAATTTTTATATTTCATGACAACTGTTTTGTGTAAAAAATTTAGCTTGTTTTCGAATTTGAATTTTTTTACATAAAGAATTCAAATTGATCATCTTTTTATTTTCCTAATTTTTAATAATATTCTAAATCTATATAATTTCTAATTTATTATATTCTGATCTTCATGAATAATCATGTGATTTGATTTACATAATCTATTCATATGCATCAATATGGAAGCTTGAAGTCTACATGTTTTAAGAATCAGTTATTAAATTCTTTTTTTGAGTTTGAAGAATTTTTGAAATACAATATCGTAAGTAAAAACTTGTAACATGCGTCAAAAGTGACATAATTGTTTTCAGATGATTTTTTTGAATAGATGAATCTTGTATATTTTTCAGTATACATCTCTAAATGGCTTTGAAGTAAATACAGAAATAAACATCAATTGTACTTACATATAGTGTATTCAAAAAATAAATTCATCTTGAACATCTCATTGCCAAATTTTTACTGAAATAAAAGAAGATTTTCGTGCAATGGTTAAGGATTTCCAATTCTTAGTTAACATAAACTATGATTTGTGTTGGAGAGTATTTGATCAATAACTTTAATCTAAGAATTCAAAAGACGTAGTGGATTGGGTTGCAAATTAGTTGATTTAGCAGTTAAGTACATGCTAAGATGCAAATATGCTGAACTGTGAATGACAATAATAATATTGTAAGCAAGAGAGTGGATTGCAAATGGGTACAAGCAATTCTACGAAATAAAAACTGTCTTGCTAGTTATAAACATGAACCACACATTCAGCATCCTTCGTAGGAGTAAGACATGTTTCAGTTTCGGTAAATTGAAGTTGTAGTTGCGTTGGTTTCTGAAACGACAGGAGGCATCTAGCGGCTAGATACCTACTGGAATGTGGAAGGGGCTAGACTCTAGCCCTTCCACAATTTTTGGGGTGCTTTCAGAGAAAGTATGTCCATTCTAAATCCAGACACAGACAAACGATGGATAATTCCAAATTGTACAGCTATGGGTCTCATATTCACCCACAGTCTGGCATGGAAAACATATCTTCTCCACCATATTTTATGAACAACCTTGTGAGAATGCTAATTTGCATGGTCCTGATAAACTTCTACACTTTTAACAAGCATCAGTTCATATTTCTCACGTTGAGATTGTGCAATTACTGACACGACAATTATTCACGGTTGAGATGTGTCAATATATAAAGCTGTAATTATTCTCCAATATTGTATACACTATTAACAAGCATCATTTCATATTTCTCACGTTGAGATTTGCACATCGAAGATCGAGCGCAGACTCATTGATTTCTACAAACCTCAAGCCCGCATGGTTTGGCCTTGAACTCCACTGGTCTTCAACAAAAATATTTCACTGACTGCGTTTATGACTGTGATCGGGCCTCGGGTTTATTGGGCATAGAGTGAAGTCAGTTCAACACCAATAGTTTGTAGGGGAAAGATCCAATCCGATCAGATTCCTTCACGTTGAAACCGCGGGTTCTAAATCTTGTACGAGGTATACTCAAACACATGCTTACCTCGCTTACGCACCAACAATTCTTTCACAACTTGTTAATGTTGAAGATGACGGACAAATTACCAGGTATCTAAACATAGTTATTAAGATCTGGTCTTTGTCATCCGATGTTATGTTTACAATTAATATCTTCCTACCAGTAACTGCACTATCACTACTCATTGTACGCCTTCCAGTGCGGGGCTGACGTTGTGAGAAGCAAATATCCAATTTCGTCAGGAAGTTCTTCACATGACTTCTCGTCTTGTAAGGTCATGAGTTAGTCTAGGACATTCTTTCAGCAATCGCCTGCTATGTTGATGAGTAAATTACGTGCTCATAAATTACTGCAATAGTAGCTAAGCACGTGAAGGTACTTCCAGGCATTGTCGAATAATTGAGGGTCCATCACCCATTTGAGGTAGATCACTGTCGCGTTACAGCTGAGTCGCAGCCATTACGAATAACGAACCAAATGTGGAACACACAAAACAGGCTTATCGGCATTCAGATGGAGAATGATGTCCATCTTCTTGTGTTCCGAAGCTTTCCCATTAGTAGGGTCAATCAACGCTGTCAAGCTTACACGTTTGTTATCACGTCCTATGGTGTTCCTAGGAAAAAATTCTCTTTTGATTCTCCACATCTCTCTCCTTTAATTGACGAACTACGGAGTAGTCACCCACTACTCACGACAATGTAAAACCGCGAGTATTCAATCAGCAAGGAGGGATCGACAGTACAACGTATGAATCATCTGTGATTTTTTTGACTGTCCACCACCAACCGAAAAAAATTCAACGCACAAAAGATATCTTTCGGTGTGGAATTTCAAACTAAGAAATTTCTGGGTTCTCTTTATTGATCAATGTAATTAGATGGCACTACAACAAAACTTGAGTGTGTGGAAGGATGTGCGGGACAGCTCAATTTAGTACAAAGGTAAAAGGGGCCAGATCCGGGCAGCCAGCCCCACTGAGCACTACTGAATTCAGGGGTTTCAGGTGGGTAGGCGCCAGCTGAGTAGATAATCTGTAGGACCCTAATCTGATCTGAATAACATGTTATAAGGTGTTCTAGCTGTTTTACATAGTCATGCCTGGTACTTGTGGCACGGAAGATCTAGCTTTTTGAACCTTCTCCACAACAATGGCTTGAGTCGTCAACACCATACCGGCAACTGAAGCAGCGTTTTGCAAGGCACACCTCGTCACTTTAGCGGGATCAATGACTCCGGATGCCAACAAATCCTCGTACACATCGGTCATAGCGTTGTATCCATACTGCCAGTCCTGTTCAAGGATCTTCTCGACTACGACCGCGCCCTCAACTCCGGCGTTTGCAGCGATCAAGGAGGCTGGTGCGAGGAGAGCCTGTAAAAGTATACACAACAATTATAAAACGTGGTGTTTGAAGGCTGAGCAAAGGTAAATCAATCCATGAAAGAATCTTCTTGGAAAAAAATCCTGATTTCATCGCGACCACATGCGTAGATGTGGGTCTGATAAACTTTTGTTACAACGAATCCTGTATGTTACTTCAGAAAAATGGAGGAGTGTTGGGAAAAACAACGAAAGAAGCATACCTTTTGTACAATGTCGGCTCCCAGCTTCTCTTCCGCGTCTAAGATGGTTTCCTTGATTGCAGGAACAAAGGCGGACAAGTGGACCATGGTGGCACCTCCACCAGGTACGATACCCTCCTCGATGGCAGCGAAGGTAGCGTTCTTGGCATCCTCCACTCTCAGTTTCCTGTCCTCCAATTCACTTTCAGTGGCAGCTCCAACCTGTACGAAAGGGAAGCCACAGATGTCAAAACTAGTAACACGAGTCCAGTTTGTTAATAGGTAAGAGATAGCCAGTCAAGTTCCTCCATTCTATTTTAACAGGTGGAAAACCTTAATGACCTTGGTCTTACCTTAATGACAGCGACACCACCAGATAGCTTAGCGATACGCTCGGAGAGCTTCTCCGTGTCGTAGACAGAGTCAGTCTCTTGGAGCTCCTTCTTAATTTGGGCAATTCGGGCCTGAATCTCATCCTTGGATGCAGCATCGGCAATCATGGTGGTGGTGCTGTTGTACACAGTAACCTTCCTGGCAATACCTAGCTGCTCAACGGAACAGTTCTCTACTTTCATGCCCAAGTCATTAGCCAGAAACTCGGATCCAGTGAGGATGGCAATATCCTGGAGGAGGGCCTTTCGGCGCTCACCAAAACCTGGTGCCTTGATGGCGACGACTTGCAATACACCACGGAGCTTGTTAACCACCAACGTTGCCAAAGCCTCTCCTGACACATCTTCAGCGATGATGACCAATGGGGCATTGAGCTGGGTTGTCTTCTCCAAAACTGGGATGATGTCCTTGATGGAGGTTATCTTCTGGTCAGTGACCAGAACCCTAGCGTTCTCGAACTCGACGGTCAGCTTCTCCTGGTTCGTGACGAACTGAGGGGAAACGTATCCTCTGTCGATCTGGCCAATGGACATTAAGAGTTGAGATGAGCACCGCAAATCCAGGTAATGAGAACCTTGAGATTACTCAAAATAATAACGTGAAGAAGGAGATGGATAAGCCGGCGGTTTCATCCACTCATTCATGTTATCTCATCCATTCATGTACGGGCTTCTACAGGAAACGCAAAATACACCTGCACAATCTAGGACTAAACTACGCTATACGAATGTTCCCTCCACCATAAGTTTTATCATAAATTGATAGCTAATACTCGATGTAGGTAAAGCATCTACAGTTCAATCAGCGTATCGCAATTTGCAGAGTAGCCACGAGTTCATGACAATTGTATTTTTCACGCAGCAAGAACAGAATGATTAATCTGGGCACAGAAGTGTGCATCACTTACCTCCATACCCTCCTCGACCTCGACCGTGGTCTCGAACGAAGAGGATGATTCGATAGACAGAACACCGTCAGGGCCGACCTTGTCGATGGCATCAGCGATCAATGTACCGACGAACTCATCATTTCCAGCGGAAATAGAGGCGACAGCTGTGCGGTCAAAGCGAAGTCAGCAGAGGTCTAAATGATCAGACAGGCTGCACGACAAAGCGAACCAGAAATGAAAAATAGGTGCAGCTGTAATTACTCACCCTTGATCACATCACGCCCCTGGACTTGTCGTGCTCTTTTCTTGAGCTCCGCAATCAGTCCAACTACAGTCTTGTCAATTCCCTTCTTGATAGAAACGGGGTTTGCTCCGGCAGTGACGTTCAAGAGTCCAAGCTTGATCAACTCCCTGGCCAAAACTGAAGCAGTTGTAGTTCCGTCTCCAGCCGAGTCATTGGTCTTGCTAGCAACCTGCAAGCCCCAAGAAAATGGTGTGATTAAAAATTAGAAGAAACAAAGGTCAGCTAGGGCGGGAGATTTTGGTGGTATATTAGCGTACGATTCTCAGACTGCACTTTCAGGAAGTACAGAAGGGCATGGGTCAAATTCACGACCACAATTCCATACGAAACAACGCACTTGTGCAAGGAGGCAGAACTCTCTTCAGTCAAGGCGATACTGCAGCTTCTAGGACAGTTTAAGAGACACTTCAGGCGACAAGGCATATGAAGAGAAACCTCTAAAACCCTCGAAGGATAACGTCAGTCATCGCGTAATGGTACACATATATGAGCAAACTACGTAACGAAATCTCACTCGCTTTGAGACGAAAGCTATTGACACAAGAAGTAAGATAGTTCCGTCGATGAATTCCAGGATTAAAACTAGAGAAACCAGTGCAGAAGTTCATGAATTGAAAGAATTTCATCGGCAGGATGGCCATGCGAAAGAAAGTGGGACAAGGGCAATAAAGGATTTTGTGGACACCAGCGTTTATCTCCGTCATTATGATGAAACATTGACCAAAAGATAACTCACCTCACGAATGAGGGCGGCTCCGGCGTTCTCCATAGCGTCGGGTAATTCAATAGCACGTGCAATTGTGACACCGTCATTGATGACCTTGGGGGTACCGAACTCGTCAAGAACGACGTTCCTTCCTGCGCGAATACAGAAGAGAAATACTCGGGAGATTACGCTTCCAGTTCAGTTCAAGAATTAAACATTCTTCCAACATAAGCCATTTGTGTGCGACTGACCACTTAAGAATCAAACAGGTAAGAAAAGGAACGGATTGTGGTGAGTTAGTTCAAGAAGACAACAGTCTAAGCAGTACCTCTGGGTCCCAAGGTGACACCAACGACATCTGCGAGTTTGTCGATTCCCGCTTGAAGCGCAGCACGAGACTTTTGGTCAAAGACAATCTCTTTGGCGGCAGCTCTGGCAGTGAGTCTGCTCCTGCTGACTCTGTTTGCTCCAGACTTGGTGTTCACAAGCCCAGAAAACTGGTTCCTTCCTCTCCATGCTCCTTGAACCTTACCGGCTTGCAACTGTATCATTAGGACGCAAAAGCGGTGAGCGAAAGAGAAGTCGAATAGTTAGCTGAACAGGGTTTACACAAAGCATTTCCCACATTCCTAACACAGCTTACTGTAATGAGCCGTCGCCTGGTACTACGTCCACGACATCAGGTCAAAACCCAGAAATCCAACTCATACTCGACTCACTCACCAAAACCTGGCAAATTCATCGAAGTGACATAGAGGTAAAGCTAGCTCGGTCCTATTGAGGTCCTCCAAACCCATACGGCATTTCGCACAAATACTTTCATTGTTGGTAAATTCAACAAGTCAGAGTTATTTTCGTCGTCCAAGAACAGAGCAACAGACCAAGCGGACTCAATACATCACCACCACTTTCGGCCAACCTCGCCTTATTCGCGCGAGGTCCTCTAGCGCACTACACAAAAACTCATCTACCCGACCTCAAATGATTCCCGCAAAATTCATACGACTCCAATCCGTTAAGCCTCCAAAACCTCAGAGCAGAAATCGCAGTACAAACAAGCCAATGTCGCAGAGGCGGCACTTACGAAGGAGGACGAGGGTGCGGAAACCGGGACAGAAACAGAAGAGGCCAGCGCAATGTTTCCTAGCACAGCTTGGGACGCCATGGCTGCTGCTGCTACTGCTCCTCCTCACGAGAATGCTGTGCAGGCAGGAAGAGTCGGGGTCGGAAATGCTGCGATGGTCTCCAACTTCGGCTTCTTGCGCCTCCTTCGCCTTCTAGTGCTGTCCGCTAATCCTCTTTCCGATATGCTCTGGATCTCGACTCTCGGTCCCCAAGCCCCGCAGATAAACACCGCCATGGATGAAGGGCTTGGGCTTGCGCTTGGCCATGGGGCTTCCCGTCAGCTCATCATTGTCCGCTACCCCCATCCCCCATCTGCTACCCCCATGCGCTTCTACACTCATCTAGAACTCTTCATGGCGGCATGGAGGAAGATCTAGCATGTTCACATCCACGGATGCATGGCATGGACTGCATGCATGCCTGGGGTTGGGGTTGGGGGTAACCGAACCTACTGGATGCTGGTTTCTTCCGCTGCTTACCCGGTTTCGCTGACCCGGATGGGGGTTAACAAACCACCCCACCCCGGCTAGCAGGGGGGTTAGATAGAGAGTTTCCTTCTTTAGGGTGGTGGATTCTGGCCTCGGATGGATTTCGGTTTTCTAGAATCTGCTTTCCAGATTGTGGGAAGGGGAGGGGCGACAGGTACGGACTCAGGACGGGCTACAAGGTGCCTGCGGACGGACGGACCTATCTGGAGCCTCACTAGCAGCTTATCCTGTGGCCTATCTGGATGGCCCCGTTCCTTGTACCCTAAAACATCCCAGATTTTCTCGAGTCCAGGTGCAATACGATTACGCTCATTACTTGAATTAGTGGTACCCGCATTATCAGATATCCGCGGTGTGGCACTGTTCTGCAGGATGAGAATAGCTGCTGTGGATAATTCCTTATTTTCACAATCACGGGTGTTCATTGTGTTCTTACTCCACTCTTTATTTGTTTAATATATTATTGTGCCATATTCCTATAACTTGGTGTTACCTGACTGAAGACTGCTAGTTGTCTATCTACGCTGGTTACGTGAGATGGTAATATATCTAGATACCAGAACTTTTCTGGAGTACTTAGAGTGCCATTCGTGGAGTATGAGTACACAGAAATCCTGCAACTGTTGGAACTCATGTAAAGCTTCTCGTGATCCTTACTAGACATGCTGTGTTTCAATAGTTTACGCAGGAGATGGTTTCTCCGCAATGTGCCTACACAATTTAAAATTATGTGGGCACTTCGTTCTGGGCATCACTTCGTCTGAGGCTTTATCATTGTCCTTGAAGCAGGCGTCTCGTAAGCATCGAGTGTTGTATTTGCTGAGTTTGGCACAAGAGACAACGCCTGCCAAACCACCGAAGAGGTAGCGATTTCACGTTTCCATTTTTTTCACAATATGGTACCTGATGCGTGAATTCTTGAAATGAGATGCTCTGACATAGGTTGCGCAGTGCGAGGTAACCAGATGTCAATCTATTTGGCCCAACTTGAACATGACTCCTACACAGGGTAGAATCGACTTTTAGCAATCAAATGGGGATGTATGACCGCGACTCATGCTCCTTTTGGTTCATTTAGAGCCTATTGCACATCAACGAGGCTGTGAGTCATGAGCACGAGACTTGCAAATATCCAGGTCAGAAAGTCAAAGTCTGTACCAGATCGACTAGGCTGAGTCATGAAGATAATTCTTTGATCATATCCAGGTGAGTTTGTGACCCAAACTCTGAAATATACCGGGCTTCCAAAGTGAGTTTGTACCTTGGAAAAGATAAGGAATTCAGTCCCTCGGTTCGGGACGACACGTATTGCCATACAATCTAAATTGTTTTGAATTTTCTGTGAGCTTAACTTCAGCTTCCTGCCCAAGCAAGCAACCTTCTTAAGTTCGACTGAGTGCAAGGTGAAGCTCTTACTCTCACGATCTAATGAGGGGAGCTCAGCCCGCCCAATCGTATGGTACTCCGATCATGTACTACCTGGTCTAAATCAAGCTTCAACTTTGTCAGTTTAAAAAACGATCATGCCAGACTGAACGTTCATTCAGCTACAAAAAATTTTACATGATTATGAAGCAAGGAAGCGCGAGACAAATTCCAGGTAGCAAGCACAATTGACATTTAACAGAAAGTTTGAAACTCCAGCATTCCAATTGTGCATGACGAACTCCTTGCAGACATTACACGATTGTCTTGTCTTGCCGACAATCTTAAGATTACATTGTAAAGGAGTCAAACCTGGTGTCGATACCCTGACCTCCACCTGCACTCAGTGTCCTAGTAGGCTCCTCCTAGAGTTATTTACCGTTCTCTTGACAAAGGATGCTCATGCATTTACTTAAGAGGTGCAAACCTTCAGAATCGATGAAAACAACTGGAATGCTTCTTGTCTACAACGGAGAGGGGAGCCCCAGATATCCATCAGAGAAAGCCTCGTCATTCTGAACAAGGTCAGTTTAAAATTCTTAGTCTCAAATGAAAGGCAGAGGAGTGCTTACAATTCTAGGACTTCAAGCTGATGATCTACATTTTCTTGTCAGCCTGCGGATGGTAAACTTACAGCGTGTGATCGTTGACAGACATAAAGACATGACGGGTAACACGGTATCCCAACATGAAGAGATGTTGGCTCTTGATAGGTCGAGACGAAGATTTGATCAATATCATACAAGTCTGAAGATCAATACAAAGACTTCGACTCCATAAAATTCGAAGGTTTAGAACTTTAGCGACAATAAGTGCGAAGTACGCGTAAAGAATGAGAAGAATGAGAAATGGCATGAATTATGTACAGCGTAAGTCATTCCTCGATAAAGAGAGAGACGCCCAGCTATCCTGAGATCTACAAAATTGGCTGGAATACCAGGAAATGAAAGTTGTATCTAGTACGGCCTGAACTTTCGAGCCTCACGCATTTTAGCAATTCTCTTCTTGTCCTCTTCGAATTTCTTCTGCAACTCTAAAACCTCGTTTCGTCGTGCATCTCGTCTTTGAAATCGATAAAAGTCATCAGTAGTCTCCTTCTTGGACTGCTTCTTCGATTTTTCTTCAGCGGCAAGGCTTGATATGGCTCCAACTCTGACACCGCTTTCAGTATCTGTAGTCTTCTTCCTGCCTTTGTTGCCGACGACCAGAGTCCATCCCTCCTCCTCCGCGGCGGCCATCTTCTCCAACCTAGCCTTCTCCTCCTTCGCATCAAAGTCAGCCATGAAATCGTCCACCTCCCGTTGCAAAACATCGAGCCCGGGCCTCTTCGCTCTGTAATCTGCGAGCCATTTCTTCATTCCTGTCAACGAGTCCTCGTTTCGAGCAGGCGCCCCCATCCTCGTGATCTAGCCTTCCACAGTTTCAAAACTTTCGCCGTGAGATTGCAAGATTTCCACCGTCGTGCGTAAGAGTGGCATGAGTCCAAATCGTTCGTCTATTCGACGCAATCCGACACACAGCAAGTCAGAAATTGTGCTAGGGATGCGAATTGCTCCCTCGAGCTATTGGACCTCCGACGGCTCCCATACTAACCTGGCCATTCAGCTCACTGGCCACGACGCTATTCCAATGAATGGAAACCGGCGTAAGAAGGTCACATTTACACTGGACAGGCAGTAACCGGTCATCCTGGCACCGGAGGGCAATCGAGGGCTTCGTATCTCTGAAAAGATTCCGTCACCCGAGGGTTTATGGATCGTTGTCTTTGTAGGTTACTGGCAACAAAACCCCTATTTCCGTGTTGCTTCACAAAGTCGCGCATTCTCACGTGCCTGGCTCGGTGAAGTCCCTAACTCCCAACAACGGGGGCCTTCTATCAATGCCAGACAGTAATCGTACCTTGTCTCTCAATGTGGTTCCCTTTCCGAATCTTATTTTGGAAACTACTCTCCTGAGTAGTGGATTGCTATCTTGCGTTATTATTTTTTATACAGATTCCCACTTTGGGAGCTTCCTGTGGTGTTTTGTCCTTCTCATATTTTGAAACTCAGAAGTAACTTGAGTCAATCCTCTTATATTCTCGGTCCCGGTCATGTCAACTCTGTTAAGATTCACTTCACGCTGTCTTTGAGCTTAAGTCATCGAAACTTTGCTCTAATGAAGGCAAACTGATGAAAACAACATTTCGCGCCGGGTGAAGTAGAGGATTTTACGACTGAGGCTTTGGATACCTGAGAAAATAGCCCTTTAAGATCACAGTTCATAGTGCGAGACGAGGCAATCTCCTTGCTTCATTGCTCAGATCCACCGCTAGCCATGAGGTCGGAATCAGAGAGCTCGACATAAAACCTTTCCAATGTTTAGAACAAAAAAGAACTTTGCCAATACAATTTTATACAATCTTCGATCTCGGGGTTTGTATACTACATCTTTTCAGCAACCTGTAGTGTCGACACCACGGTGTCCAACCAAAAGGCACATATTCATGTCACAAAGACAAACATACGCCAGCGAAGCAGCCTCCAATCAAGTCTGTCCATGAGGTAGAAGCTTTTATGCTCCCAACCACTTCCAGAGCAGTTACTGCACCCGTTGGCTCCTGCTTATGCAACTCTTACCATTAGCTTGCAATTGAGTCGAAGGATTTCGACACAAGCAAGCTAGCTAACGAAGTTCAGAAATCTTTAATGATCACGGGTCCAGAATTAGAATGGTCTTCTTTATAGTAAAAGAAATAGAACAAGCAACAGAAATATCCATGCATATTATAGTTCTCGATACAGGCAAATTGCAAGATTAATGATCACACTGAATGTACGGCATTTCCGCCAAGTAAATGAAGAAATCTGCCTCACAGGCCATCATTCCTTTCACTTCCCAGCAAAACGAGCTGGTAATTCACAACAGTAGTTTCAAGTTGATCTAATGATGAATCCATAATGCGGAACGCATTGCAGCAGAGATATTGTGCAACAGAAAGATGACCAGCCCTGACCTTGGCACATTCATCTATCCCGTCCAAAATTCTTTGGCAAAAGAGGGTGCAGGAAAAGTCTCGCCTTGTGTATCGTTCAATAAGTGACGCAAAATATCTCCTGCTAGACTCCATACTGAGCACGGTAGCCACTAGATTATCACTGCACGATCTCAATACAAGCCTAGGTAAAAGTACGATCGAAACCTTAATTTCGGGTCAAAATAAACTACGTTTCTATAATTGCTAGCCTCAACCTAGGTAAAAAACCATCATGACCCTGCTACAGGACAACTTTGATTGAGTTCCCCGGAACCGCAGGCACTGCACAAGTGAAAGCTCACAAACGAAAAAAGAATGTATGTCACAAGAGGGGAAGAGATTGGTTTCGATTGGAGCCTTGGTCATGGTTTGTACTACTGAACAGAGTTACAGAAGTTACAGACTGCCCAGCCAGAAGAAAAGAGGGAGCTGAACAACTCCCATGAAAAGTAGCAGGTAGTGATGCCTACTAGAGTCTCTGTCATAGCTCCTTACTTCGGCGAACAAAATCCTCTTCATGGTTTTCACCAAAAAGATTGCCATACACAACCCCGTCCACAATCCAACTACCCATGGGACGATCCAGTAACTTGACAAGATACGAAAGAGAATGGCAAAGCTGACACCTACGAACGCATAACCGGAATATGCTACGACATCCAATATAGGAGCATCACCACTTCCCAGTGCATACAAAGAACACCGCAGTAAGACAACTTCCGCAGCCCAGCCCACCAACGCTTTTGTAAATTTTGCTCCCATAACATCTGAGGTAAACCTGACCAGTCGAAACAAAAGTTTGAGATTATTGTGTCCTTCACGTGAGCAAAATAAGACAGAAAATAGCAAACCTACGACTTTTATATGCGGAGTGAAGACTGGTCTTTCCAGGCGTTGTTATAATTAGGATCTTCTTGAAGCAAGAATAAATTCCATCCCAACTTACTTGCCAAGAAGACCTTGAGCGATTCCGCACAAAATGATGTAGGTCGCGAAGGCCATAATTGGGATGTACAAGTCTGGTGCATTAATGTCATAGCGGGGAGGCTTGTATGTGAGACCCCCGGCTACCTGCTCCGCGATTCTAGTCCAGTGACCCTGCTCAAGATAAGCACAAAGCCGGAGTTGAATTTAATATCCGCACTCTACTTAAGACATGAAACATGATTCTTGACCACACCTTAAAAACTTCTGATGATGTACGTTGTCCACCCCGACCTACGGCTGTTGAAAGATCTTGGATACTTCCTCTCGGAAAGGAAAGAAGACAGGACTCAATACTGTTATCCTGCAATAGCTTGCCCTGGCTGAACGATGATCGAGACGAAGGACTAAAAAGGAGGTCCTAAAAAATTAGAAGAAAAAGTCGATGACAAACTTCATTCCTTGAGACATAGACCTAACAAGAAATAAAGCTTTTGAGTCTATGCTTCTAAAGCTTTCTTCAAAAGATTTTTTTACTACAAACAATGCAACGACACCTACAAAATAGGTATCTTCCCTTATGTCCAGTGTTGCAAATCCTATATATGACCAGTCTGATCGCTTTTCCAAATTACAGGCAACAAACTGAATTAAAGCAGAGATCCTGCTTGAGGGTCCTCAAGACCAAACGTTAAATAAAGAGTTGCAGGCCTACCTTGTGCAAGAACGGGAATAACACAACTTTCACTTTGTTCTTCACATATTGATCGTTAACTTGAAAATAGTACTGAAGATCATGACCTGAAAGATACCTGCTCATCTGTCATCAACAGAAATCCATCATTAGGCCCACACAAATAAAAAAACTGAGCAATTGCGGTAATTATCTGAAAGGTCTTCATAAGTTGATTAGACGCGAGTCGCTTGCCTCCCGGTTTGTGTTAGCACTAACCACTACTCAGTATACTTAGACAATCAAATCAGAGCAAGACAAAAAAGATAATCGAAATTGTAGAACCACAAACAAGTACCGAATAGAATAACCACAGCGATGGAAATATAGTCGACAGAGGACATACATTACTCTGAACATATTCTCTGCCCGATCCTAAGATCTTGTTTCCATAGACACCTAGCCCACTTTTGATAAATCCTGAACCAGCACCGTAGAATACATCGTTGAAGGCGTTGGCAGGATTACTCCCGGATTGTCTTGGCATGCCACCTTGCGGTTCAAAATCATTGTAAGCCGCGGAATACTGCACCAGAAAAGATAATTACTCAATAAAACTGTTGCAACCTCTAATAATTACAACCTCTTCTCTGTAAACTCGAGACAGTAGGTACAGAGCAAAAATCAACTCTAGACAGATCAAAGTCATATATTACTCATAGACTGCGTCAATGTGAACCTAAATTACTCTAAGCATTAACTGGCAGAATGTAACAGTTAATCCTAAAACACATATCGACCGTCATATCAAGTAAAATGAAAGGATGTACTGTTTTCGAAACTTCAAGCTATTTAAGAGCACGAAGAAAGTAGTTATGCTCGAGCAGATCCAACGACACTGATTTTTGTGATGTTTTAGGAATAGAACTGAAAAAATTTGGTTTGGTTCAACAAATGAGCACGATCAACAGGAAAAAAAATCAGTAAACCTGGAATTTAAAGCTTCACTTTCTTCCACCCTGTTTGATAATCCTTTAATCTGACCAACCTGCTTGCGAAATACCGAACGGTATGTCCTTAAACGTCGACTGGAATGGACAAAATCAACAAAACGTACAGCGTTCAATCTGTTCAGCTAGGTTTAGAAAAGACCGTCAAGACGGCTATCCCGATGCACTTTGCCTGATTACAAAAAGCGTATGATATGTTTCACCCACGTGGCGAATTATTGATAAAGACTTGCTTGATCTCCTTGGCAAAAAATACTCCAGTAAACTGGTATACCCCAGTAAACTTGAATGGCTACCCGTCAATTCGTAAGCCCCGCGTCGATATCAAAACAGTTTGTGGTTGGTACAGGGCAATGATAGACGCCATATGATCTTCTTCAGCTTAAGTTTAGGATTTCCCACTCCTCACATCGCGAGATTGTTTTCCATCATCTCATGGAATCATCACTAAAGGGGAAGGACCAAAAGAGCTCACGCATCGACCTCCCAACTCGTCCTCACCGATTCGGACCAACAGAAACGAAAACATGCCAAGCTTTAAAATATGAAAAGTTTCTGATCCGAATTTTCGAACGTGTGCGACAAGTATTTGCTCGAAATAGCCTGAAGGTCATAGACCTCGAACCCTGGCTCAGCGATGCTATGATTATGATATAGGAAAGAAAATTAAAGGTTTTGGCAGTAATAACCCCACACGAGCACATCAACCATTTACAATAGGTACCGACCATCTATACACTGCAGTTTTGATCTCACCAATTACTCCTTCCCCAAACGATTTTTTTGCACAGTGCATATACTCTGCTTACCCAACTGTCTCTCCATGCAAGTATCTCCTATGACTCCAAAAACTTACACTGACCTTGCATACAACCAATTCGGAAAAGTTTGTAGCTCTGAATGTAAAATCGATTCTCCTGCGGCTACTAAGCATAATTTGCAGCTTACTAATTGGTCGGTTCCACAAAATAGTCCCAACTTGGATAAAAAGACATGGAAGAAAGAAGACGGGGCCTGAGAGTCGTTAGTGCATCTGTATGAGTGCATGAATCAGAAAATGCCTACATTTTTTAGTACTTGCTGAAATCAAAGTGTGATGATCTCTAGGCTGCAGTTTGGTCCCTTGTGCCATTCAGGCCTATGTGAGCTTCACTCTTAATAATCCATATGGTTCATTCAATCCGAAAACACAAGAGAACGAAGAGAAAAAAGCTGTAAAGTGAGGAGTAAGAAGTAGTTTCCGATCTGTGACTGACAACTTTCCTAAGTCCTAATCGCCAACCCGAAGAGATATCTTCTCCATCGATCCGAAAATTCGATTTGGCCATCAGTACACGCACTATGTGGATCACGGTTGGCAAGAGAGAATAAGTGGGTGAAAAAACCCACGTCGAAGACCAACTATTTCGGCGACCTCCGTACGATGTCAAAACAAGGGTACACACTCAATTTTACAAATTGAAATTTTGAAAATATCGTCGCACAGCACCGGAGAAACTTAGGGCTGGAGAGGATCACGTACAGAAGACGAAGCAGATTGGCCCCAAGGAGGAGCGGAGGGCGCAAACCCTCCATTCGGGATGATGCGGGGATTCCCGGACATAGTGGCAGCAGCGGCAGCAGGGGCAGCCGCGGCGAATGCAGCTTCACGAACTGAAATCAGGGGCAGCCCAAAAACGGACGACTCTCCGTTTAAAACCTTGAAGGCGATGCTCGAATCGAATGGGGACCGGAGGAGAAACGCGCACTTTTCTACTGCATGTACTTCCTTCGTTTACGTGCTACTCGTGTGGTGGGTCTGTCGGCCTGGTTCCTGCGCTGCGTTGCGCCCGTCACTCCGCCTCACCCTCTACGTGCCGTCCCGTGAGATCGAAGCGAAGGTCGCATTGCAGAATTGGAGTCGAGAGTAGGCAAAGCGCTCGTCCCGTGGCATGCACTTCTTTCTCCCTCCCTTCGATCACGCGTGCTGCGCCTCTGCTGCTCCTCCGCTCGTCGTCGCTCCCTCCCTCCCTCCCTCGTCACTCCCTCCCTTACTCGGTAGTTCACCCTCCCTTCCACCACGGCACGGGCCTCGACGACGATCGGTCATTCCCGTTGCTCGCATCCGTCCCTGACCTCGCCCTCCGTTCCGTACCTCCGTCGCCTCCACTGGTCCGGTCGAAGTCAATTGGTGAGTGCTGCTGCTGTACGTCCTGCGCGTGCCAACTCGAGTGCAGCTGGTCTTGTGATATGGCACCACCCTATTGGCTGGCCCTCGTCATCGACCGCGCCGTAGTCCGACTCTGACCACGTAGGTAGAATTTCGCAGTTCGTCCCCGGTTTGGGTGCTTCGTGCACTCGTTGTCCCGTCCCGCAAGGTTCCATCGTAGTTTGATTCACCTGGGAGCCATTTCACCGAACTTCATCAGTAACTTGTACATGAAACTAAATGGATGTAAACGCAAGGATGATGTGGTGCTGGACCCCAATAGTTCCACGAGTTATAATATATCTTATTCTCAGCATCAATGTTAATCCGTCAAATGCATATTTTAGCATATGTAGTTGCTCTCTTACGCAATTAGCAACCTGGATTTCTTCATCCTTCTCATTCCTTGAATTGAGAATACTTTTTATCTTCTATTGTACAATTGCACTGGCTTATTGTATGTGTACAGAACTAACATGATCTTTCCAAACACATACTGGTCGATCATAACACTTGTCAAGTCCAAGACATGGTAGTGGGAGGTATTCAATCTTTCATAAATTGAGGATATTTCTTATATTTTACACAATCTCATTACATATAGTTATACTTTGACAAGTCATATATATTCTTGCATAATATAAGATAATCAGGTTACCAAGTGATTAATAAAGATGTATAAAGTAAAACCATGCAAAGTCATAATCTCATCACAAGATTCCAAAACATGCAATATTGTAGTTTTTTCCAAGAATCCTACTTGAATTCAAAATAACACTTTTAATAATAAAATAATTTATAATAAGTCGATTTCATCACATAGTTTGCAAATATATAAATTGTCATGTCCAAATTTTCACTCGCACATTTAAAATACACATAGATTGATCAGGTGAACAACTTTCTCCGATTTTATCATATCAAAGACGGTCATGTTTGTGTAATGAAGTAGTCATTGTTCATACAAAGTTTTTGACTTGGACAAATATATTTCAATTGATATATTCCATATCACACTTAAAACTCCTAATGAAAAAAAAATGTATATATCCAGCAAAAAGTAACTGTAGTTTTGTTTTGATTATGTGATATCCTATTATCACTTATAACTATTATAAACCATGTGAACTTGTTTTATACCAAAAAATGATGAGATCCTTGTTATGTACATCTTTTGATATTCTCTCTATAATTTGACAAAAAGTATTGTCACAAAGTATATGAGTATGCATACAGTTTTGAAATGAGCATGGAAAGCGCAAATTTCAAGATGTCAGGAAAAAAATTGTAGTAAGATACATTCAATTTCATGATTAACTTGATCTAGCTAAAAACCAATATTTTCATACGATGATAATTGTTTCAGTGATCATGCTCTTCATATTAAATTCCAAAATGGTTTGAACATCATAAGATATTCTTTTACATCACATTAATGATCAGACATTGCAAAATAAAGGTGTGATCAAGCGAATAGTTCAAATATCGCTTTGAAAACATTAAATTTTTTATTCATACAAGACCTGATGAAGTATAAACCATTTATAATATAATAGACTAATGATGTTATGTTCCTAGAAAAATTATCAGAAAAATAAATATAGAAAATTCAACATTGTGTAGAAACTATCAATCTCATTCAAAACTAACTTAATATACTTTTCAAGTACATCTAAATCATATCATCACAACATTGTACTGCGTATACTAAAAGAATATCAATAAGAAATGAAAATTATGATAAATACATATATTGCATTTATTTATTATATTCAAAGTAAATTGAAGTTAAAAAAAATTTAAAAAAATTTTCTTAAAACTGATATAATTATTTTTTCATGAAAAACACATTTTTTTATAATTCACCAATGATAATTTTAAATTTAAGACTTTTTTTTCGAAGTAATACAAAATGATTATTGATTTTTGTTGGAAATAATACTGGCATTGAAAACAAAATGGTATGCTTAATTCGAATTAAGTATGTAAATGGAAATTAATAAATTGAGAGATACAAAATATTCAAAACAAATCATAATAATTTTTAATATGAAAATGAAAAATAATTTAATGAATACGGGATAATAAATATATATATATATATATATATATATATATCACGACGCATATTTTTGAAAAAAGAACATAACCATCTTAATATTATTCATTATGAGTGTATCTGAAATAATTTTAGACCAATTAATTTGGTCTAAAATTATTTATTTATTTGTAAACCCAGATAATCTATTGCTAAACATAAAATTACTGTAGTATCGGTGAGACTGAGTAATTTGTGTGTGTCATATTATGAGATGAAGACATAATAGAATTTTAAGTTGAACACAAAACTTATATTAGCATAAATAAATCATAAAATCAATAAACAAACATTTAAAAATCCTCAGTTGATTGTAAAATATCAAAAAATAATTCAACAGCTTAATTTATTGAAATATAATGTTATAACTAATACTGTAATATCTTATATGTTTTAAAACAAGATCATCACAGATAATATGATACAAGCTAAAAAAAAAATGAATGATTCATGATAAATATTTGCACATGAAATTGGACATATTACGCTTTAAACAAATAATTTAAGAATGAACACCAAAATTTATTTCTTAAAATGATGTTAATATAATTTTACATGAAAGAAAAAATTCAATCACTGCAAGAAACTGCAATTTCACAATCCTTTAATATATGCAATAGATGATAAATAAATGATTTTTTACGTCTTTAAATTAATTTAATTCATGTGAGATTAACTTCAATCCATGTAAAATTGAAGTTATTTTTGAAATTTGATATTCTCTATATTCCAAAAAATGTAATTAGAGTTTTGCAATTTTTCTTCGATAAAACTGTAAATTAAATATACTTTACATTTAAGTATTATGATTTAAATAATTGTAACTGATGTGAATTTTTAATGCAATCCTTGTTAAAAAAATCAAGAGTTATAAAAAACATATAATGCATGATGCACTATATTTGTGTTAGATTTTTTACAAGTATTCTACTATAATAATCATAATATTTTTCAAGCACCGCACTATAATTTTTATACGTCGGACATACAGCTGTCACTTTGTCCTATAATTGTTCTAGAAAGCTTATTACATGCAAAGTGTCCTGATTTTTTAGCTGCATGGTAATTTTGATGAAATATGCCTAATTTGAAACGGAGACGAGTAAATGATTCAAACTTGTGGATAAGATGTGGATGGGTTTTTTAGTAGAAATTTTGATGACAAAACTTCAAAAATTGCACTCAATGATATATATGGCGTGATTGAGAGTTGAAACATTATTGAATTTGGGATGGTAAGTACGTGAAATTAGGACTAGTTCATTATAAAAGGCTTTACATAAGATTTTTAATTGTTTGATTGAAATCAAAAATTTCTTAGATAAATATATAATTTTGATGATTTATCTTTTGATATGGTGATTATATATATGATTATATATTTCTTTGATATCCACATTATGTATTTAAAAGATGCAATTATTGCAAGTTATAACACTTAAATCTGAATTAAGCATTTACGCTTTTTCCAAGCATTTTATAAGAACATGATTGTTAGAGATCTGAAACAACAAATTTATCTTCAAACTAAAATTTTGTTAAGATCTTTTGTAAACATATAGATATTTTTCTGATTATTTTTTTGATTTTTCTTATGTTAAAATCAATTTAAATAATATATGGTATAATTAAGTAATGTATTTTGATTGGATGTTTATATTTAAGTAAATTTATAATCATTTTGGTTTCACTAACGATCGAATCTTGTTTTTTAATTTTGTTACTGAAATTCATATCCATTGATATTTTTTGAAGACTATTCTTTGTTTTTGTAAAAGTTGTAAACAAATTGAGAATTTTTTGTAAATTATTGATTGCATCAATATTTCATCTTGGTTGAAAATTCAAATCCATTAAACTGGATTTAAATATCAATGAATTGAAATTTTCTTGTAATTTAACAAGTAATGAGCTACACATGAATTTTAAAAGTATACATTTTGAATAAGTGATTATTTGCAACAAGTCAAAATTGGAATTATATTTCAAAACTTATAAGTGAATTCAAACGATATAAAACGTGGTTATTTAACAAATTTGTTGAATGTGTTTCTATTCTAAACATCGTTAAATTGAGATAATTAAAGTGCACAATGATAAATGAGATTTAATGCTGAAAGTCAACATTTTAAGAATGCACTATTATTGTCACTAACTTATTATATTATTTTTATTATTTGTTCACACAAACTTTCATTAGCTAAGATTATGTATAGATTAAATTTAGATAACATTTCATTACATTGTAAGGTTTTGCATTATATATAAATGTGTACAAAAATTTGTGATACAATTGATAGTTGGAAAGTCATTGAGAGACAAATGGCTTTTAATAAAAAATAAAATTGGTTCAAATAAACAAATACAATTGTAAATTATTTGTGAAATTTTATTTTTTTTTATCGATGATTAAAATTTGAAGAGCTAGGAGATTATCATGGTATAGTTTTAATTATTTTAGGGTTTAAATGAAAACTTGGGAACAAAAATTCAAAATACAACTCACTTATTGAAAGTAAAACTATAATCAAACAATGAAATGTTATCACATTAAAACACTATGAATGCAACAAGAGATGTTTACTGTTTAAGTACCTCACTATGTATGAAGTTTATATTAATATTGAATATTTTTTATCATAATTATAAATTATTTGAACTGATAATAATTATAAATAACACATATAAATATTTCATTTACAAATATTTTATTACTCATATACATATAGTGATTTTTTTTCAACTAATAGAGATTTCAAGACATTGATAACTTATAAACGTGAATGACTATAAATTGTGATGACATTAACCAAACTCTTTGGATATGAAGAGATGCAAAGATATCAACTTTTGGTAAACCTAAAATCAAAGTGTTATGTTATTATGAATGCAATTTTAGCACGTTTTAGAAATGCACTAAAGCTTATTATATTGTATACATATTTGGTGTAAATTTATTTTAATGTTTTATTTTCAACTATATGTTTTCATTACTCTAGGTTGAACAGTATGAAAATTACATTAGATGATGAATTATCAGATGATTTAATCGCTCAGGAATTCTTAGATCTACATATTTTAAGACTATGAGTGTTGTAAGACATATATTATATCATCTTAATATACAAATCTAGCATTTTTTAAGTGTTTCACTTGATAGTGGGTTACTCGTCTTTGATTATAATTGCACTCAAATGATATAAAATACAATGATGAAGTTTGTTTCAACTTAGTTATGCTTATGGTGAGTTTGTTTACATTTAATATATCCCATAATGCATAATGATCACATGAAGTAGTAGTAGATCTATGAAGATTTGGCTAATCCTAAATTTAAGTTATATATATATATATATATATGAAAATAGGATTTTGAATGCTACTTTGAATTGCTGTTAGGTGAAGAAAAAAAGGTGGGTAAAAAAAGTTGGTATTAGTCACAAGGAAAGAGGAATAGTTACCAATATTATTGAAATCTCTCTCATGTGTATATCAATTGTTAATGTTTTCTGTCCTAATAGATAGAAACAGTTGTAAAAATTTGATAGAAAAGAGAAAGTAGAAGACATTGCCAAAGATATGAACTTCTTGTAAACAATATGAACAATTCTTTAAAATTCTCATCCATAAATCCAAATATTTCAACTGCAAGTAGATAATGTCTATGCATACTTGGATGTTGACCGGGTATCCGCCATCGAATAAATTCTACATTTATCCACTCTGAAATCAGTTCAAATGTCAAATAATTAAAGACCACATTTGCAAAGATGTGAAATATAATCTTGAACATTCATAATCATGAACATTTTCTCAAAAATCCTTGACTTTAATTTCAAGATGGAGTAATATGTCAACACCTCGGGCTGATTGAGAGGCAGCATAAAAATATTTAAGCTGTGAAAATAAGAAGGGAGCTAGTTCATGTACTGTACTGCACCATATTTGTCTAAAGAGGAAGCTGTACGAAGAATGAAGGCCGACCACCCTCCTGAACCAAGTAAACCATGAAATGAAACAAAGCAGGGTGGCCAATGATAGTACGCCAAGAAATATACAGCAAAGAGGATGGGGAACTGCACGTGAGTCTGTTTATACTAATCAGTCGTGGCTCTTTTCTGATATGGGCCATATCAGAAAACTACTTATATTATATCAGCCATATCAGAAAAGAACTCATATTACATCAGCCATATCATATGGCTGATGTAATATAAGTTCGACTCTAACCAATTACAAGAAAATCGTGCAGGAATTGTTGAGCGCACATATGCTGTTCTGATTCAGTAATTCGAACTAAAGCCGGATGTACGGGATGAGTACGGCGAAGGTGTCCGATACAGTACAGCACAGTCAAAACCACAGTCTTACGGAGTAACTGAGGCCGCAACGCTCCGTTCGTGAAGCTAGTCAGTGACATGCAATAGAAGGCACGCATCGTGCACAGAAAGTGAACATCGGAACAATTTTCTCGGTGGCGGTCGGTCAGTCGGTCCGTCCGTCAGTGCCTGTCAGTCTTCCGAATTCTGAACGTCTGGCACTCTTCACGGTGACTGACTGATTCCTCGCGTACGACTCGAATCCGCAATTTTCACAGAGAAGACGAGAGCGAATGCCGGACTGACCACGCTCAGTGTTTAGCGGTGGAATTGCGGGGACTCGTTCGACTGACAGTCTGTTCTGTCCCCATTCTGTCGTTGAACTGGTCGACTGGGCGGATCGCAGGTGACAGAGATTGCAGTGTGTACGTGCTGCGACACTGGGAGCAGTGGCGCAATATTTTGGATCTGCCGAGGATAGTTTGGGCTCAGACTAGTTCGTGGGTTCGATAAGAGCGCTTCGATCTGTACGAGATGAGGACAATTTCGTAGGGAGTTGAATTGTCGAGAATTTGGTTCGAAGGCAGGTGGAAGGAAGGAAGAAGGGAAGGGAAGGAGAGGAAGAACCCTAGATAGATGCTGGTGAAAGAGCGGGAGTGCGAGGGCGATCCGGAGGTGGAGGAAGGATGGTGAAAACGAATGTCAAAGCTCGGGTTGTGGAGTATTTTGTAGTTTGTGGTCTGGGTCCAGATCTTCAAACAACAGAAAATCAGAGAGGCTTTCATGGAACGATAGATGTCAAATACCAACCTGCTCTTCTGGACCAATTTCCCTCGTCCACAAATTCTGACATTCCTCCACCGCCGCCCCAATTACCTTTGGTAATTTTTCTCAGAGGACCGTGTGTGCCATTATCAATCTACATCATCTCAATTGTCAGTCGATTAAAGGTTACTGCGGACGTCTGCGTCTTTGAATTTGTATCAATTTAGCTTGAGTTCGTGCGGCAGTCTGACACCTCAAATGATCAAGGTGTCAGGCTGAATGAACTTCTGACTAGATGCTAATGAGTCTTGCGAAAGCTTGAGATAGAAGGATTGCCGAGGAAGTCACATTTGTAACGGATGGACTCTTTAATGAAAAGTAGTGTAATTGCTTCACCATTCAGCAACAGTTCTGAGAAGGCATGCGGAGTCACACTGCAAGTTAAGTTGTAAGCGCGATGTTCGAATGACTCCCTGGGCCAATCTTCAAGTCCTTGATCTAAGTGACGTTCATGGAGCGACTACTTCAATACTGAACATATTCTTGAACGTGCACTGTAATGTGTAGTGTGTTTTGCCTGGTGGCGTAGAGTTTTATTCAAATGGCCCAAGTCCTAGTGATGAATCGAGTCATCCACGAAGCTACCCTATCGTATTGACAGGTTTGTCCAGAAACTTTATGTTCCTGCTCATGATGTATGCGGAAACATATGCAGTTTCTACAGTGAGCAAAAGGTTTTGCTTGTTGCGGTCCGTCCTTAGGCTTTTATAAATCAGAAGGAAGGTTTGTGATATCCGATGAAATTGAATAGAACTAGCTCTTTTGGCACGTAGCTGTAGTTTAGTCTAACTCAAGTGCTCGAGTACCTGTTGATCTTGAGCAGATGGGGACGGATCAAAAATCTATGTCAGTTGTGTTGCATTTCGTGATCCTGTCGATGACGATGTGGCTCAAGCTTATCGAATTCCTGCAAACTCCTACGTGGACAAGTGTATATGTGTGGTTTCGCATTCTCCATCCTTCCAAGTCTTCCGTGAAGCTTTGGAGGAGTTGCACCGTTTGTGCTTCTCGAACTCCGGTGCCAGGTATGCTCTGTACTTATGTAAGGGTTTCCTGGAAATTCATTCTCATTGTTTTGTAGTGGTCCTTAGTCCTGAAGGTTCTATTATTTTTAGGGCGTGAGAGCCACCTCCTCCACCCTACTGCTATAACTCCATGCTCCCTGATCTAACCTCATGGTCAGTTTATGGATAATTTTTCAAGTTACTCTTAGTACATTACCTGAGACATATCCTCATTTGTTGTTTTCTTCTCACTATGCAGCAAACCTCTGTGGGATATTGTATCGCACATGGTTCTAGGTGTTCCCCTACCCGGACCTGGCCATGGTCAAGTTTTATTTGCCGTGGAAAACTTTCTCCTCAACGTGGAGGCACCTCCAAGTGATGGGCTTCCTCATGCGGATGTAAGTATCACAACTTCCGAAAATAAAGAGTCTTGAAAATGTGGACACGTGGTTATTGTTTACTTTTTCGGGGATTTGTTTTCGTTTTTTCAAGTAGTAGTTTTCAGCTTGCCTGTGTCAAATAGTGGCCTTCCTTTAGCAGGGTGGGATTATTAAATTGCACTTCTGACATTTGTTGTCCTGGTTCAGATGTCCTTCCAACCTCTTGTGCAATGTCTCGATATCGACAATGTCATTCGCCTATTCACGGCAATCCTACTCGAAAGACGTGTTTTGCTGAGAGCCAGCAAGTAAGGAAAGAGATCTGTAAAGTCTTTGGTTTTGGAGAGCGACATTTTCTTTCTGTATGTAGTACTCTCCCCAAGATATTTGATATCAGAGCGTTGTTGCACCTAAAGTAACGTAGTTTTCAGCAATATCACTTTCTGGTTTGTAGCCTCGTCGAATAAATTTGTGCTTGTCCGCTTGTTATCAGAGTTTCTTGCTGTGATGGGCTCTGGCAAATGCATGTTTTTTTCCTCTTAGGAAATCCTGCGGTTGATTTCTCTTAGAGGACCTATGTCCAGCCAGGAGACTAGTGGTAGTTGCACATGCGTCAGGTTTTGAGGAAAAGTAGTGGAGTCGTTACTCTTATATTTATATGGCGAGAGAAGAGGACTTGTCTTCTTCAATGAAATAAGCTATGTTCAATAACATAGGTCGCCCTCGTAATTAGTTTGTAAGACGTCCCTGTTAGACAGATCTTTCGAAACGGCATGAGCGTATATCGTCATTCTCGTTGTTGAGAATGACGACATACTCAATAACTCTGGTTTGCTCACTGTTTGTTGCGTTTATGGGCAGGTATTCTGTACTAACCATGGTTGCCGAAGCTTTATGCCATCTTATCTATCCGATTAAATGGCAGGTATGCTATTTTCAAATTGTGTGTTTGTCTTGAATAACTTGTAAGGATGGAAGCCTTATTTTTCGCTGAAGAACATCTTCCTAGCTTGAGGTCACATATTTACCACGTACTTAAACTCATCACATTTATACGTAGTTTCTCCTCGTGGGTTTTGATCTTCACATATATTTTCTTATGCTATCATTTTGTGATGCTTGCTTCTGCAGCATGTGTACATTCCAGTCCTTTTCTATGCTGGCGTGGAGTACATAGATGCCCCAACACCGTACCTGATGGGGCTGCATTCGGGCGTGGATACAACAGGACTTACTATGGATGGTGTAAGTTCACGTGAATGTACATGAGCAGATGAGATATTGTTTAAGTTCTTCTTATGTTATGGATGCAGGAGATTTTTAAAACACCAATCGTTTAAAAGCGGTATATGTGAGTTTTAAACTCTTTGAAGAGGACTGATAGACATACGGAAGTGCTAACTGAATTCAATGATCCCGCTAACACTCTTGGACATTTTCGTGTCGCACCGGCACAAGTTGTCTTTGCACCGCGAGTCTCAACTCCTATCTTCAAAGCGCATCATGTAAAATTGGATACTTGTGGCATGTGGGTACTTTGTATTAGAGGTACGTGTTTGCAATGTTCTGATGTTGTAACTTTTTTTTTACAGGTTGTAGATGTGGATCTTGATAAGAACAAGATTGTCACTTCTACTGATGAATCCATTCCAGAAATACCTGAAATTGAATTGGGTCGCTTACGTAATGATCTTCTGCAACTTGTTCATCCGAACCTTGCACATCTGGACCGAGCCCGTACAAGCTACAGTGCTGTTCATGAAGCGTATATTAGGCGCTTTTCAAAGCCTTGGAGCAGTCAGCACGATCGGGAATTAAGGTTCTGTAGTTCTGTGTGTTTTCTCTCACTCGTTTCTTTTATTTTTAAAAAAGAGTACTTTTCAGGAACGGGTCATACGTCAAAGGGTCATAGTGTTGACGATTTCTTTTTAACCCTACATTCGAACCTATTTTGTATGACCTTCTCTTTGAGTAATAATTCCGTGTACTGTCCCCTTCTCAATCAAATTCTAAATATACTCATACGAATTCTGCAGGATAATATTCTTGAAGTTTTTTGCCACAATTCTCTACGGGTATCGTGATTTTGTGGTAAGGCCCGTAAATGTAGTTTTAATATATGATTGTCACAAACTCTTGGTATGCTAGTTTTTCGCCAACTGCGCTCCAGTCTTAGACCATTATTGCACTTGCAGCATGCACGCAGGAGCAGTTTTTTGGAGTTGGTTTCATATGTTATAGTTCTTGGTGCCGACCTATCTTAGGATATAAAACACTTTCGAACACATGTCTTTTTCAGGATTACAGCCTGCCTGAGAAGGTTTTTAATACTGGAGCTTTCTTGAAGAAGCGGTCACGTATGACGAGTCGAGATACTGAACCCATGGTAATTCCATGATTCTTCTGCTGATCTATTCATCATTCGAGTTTTGTTTCTGTGGTGGAAGAAATTTTTTTAGAGCATCAGCACCTTATTTAATTTTGAAAGTGAGCGTGGAAATTATCTTCAGTTTATCGGTTGGAATCTGTGTTACTTGTGCGTTATGCATTAAGCTTCTATCTTTGTCATCTAGGAGTTTTAACTATCTTTCATACTGAAATTTGAATCAATGCTTCCGTATAGGTCGCAGAATTCTTAAGTTCGCAAGGATTCATGGAATTTCTCGAAAGAGGATATGGATCGGCCGAAGCAGGGCCAAATTTGGTGGATAAGATACAGGAAGCTATGGGAAGAGGGCAGGATCCATCAATGTGTCTGCCCGAACCTCATGGTCAGCCAGAATTTTTTACCGTCTCAGATACCTCGACACAGACTCCAGGTTTGTTCACATCTCTCTCTTATGTTTCTCAGTGCATCAGATACCCATGCACGGACTCCAGGTTGCTCATATTTTTTCTGATGTTTTTCCAGGCATTAATTAGCCTGCAGTAGATAGACAAGGTTGCTAATGTGTGTAGAACAGGAATTGCCGTCCGCTTCTACCTGTCTCATGCTCAAAGTTATTGTAAAGTGTCGGTACTAAAGTTTACACCGAGCATGCTGTTAGTTTCAATACATCAAATTGCAAAAATTTGTACAGAGATGAAGCTGTTACACTTTTGACGTGCAGTTATCTGTCTGCAAAGGACATGTACTGTATTTGATTTAGAATCTCAGTAAGTGATGCATTCACTGAAGTGACAGCTGTGTAGAGTTTGTATTTCTTAAGATAGCAGACACTTCAAGGTCCGTTCAGTCAAACTAAACGGATCTTGAAGTTTGACTGAGTATAATCGCATTGCTTAATTTCATGTGTCTTGTGCATATTTTGCCCTTGTGTGATTCATTAAATCTGTTGACACCAATAAAATAGATAGATGGTGATGTTTCAACAGCTTTGGGAGTAGTTCCATATGTGCTTAGTTACTCCCTTCCATTCGCCACAGCTCCTAATCACCCACAACCTACCCTCCGGGGAGCTTTTAATCATTCTAAGCATGATACTTGTATTATGACACTCTCCACATGTCAAGAAGGACCCAAACTCGTATTAATGGAAGGGAAACTACCCCATCCCCATTTTCAGCAGTCCCCGCTGACATAGTTAATGGAGAGCCTGCAGTATTGACTGTTGGCAAGGTGTGATTGCCTAGTAGAATATATTCAAACAATATGATGTCTTTATATATTATATATAAGGTAGTATCACAAAATCATAACTCAAAACCCTTCTTTCTTTGTAATTACCTCAGCTACGTTTCAAGATAACTTGTAATAATGTGTTCCCTTCCCAGTGTTCTTGTTATTCATTGTATGTCTGGACTCTATCCAGACAGAATATCCTCGAGACATTGCTTGCAGTTAACGTGGTCGCGGTCCATTTTTGGTTTGGGTTTTACCTTACCAATTTCTGTGAGTAAACAGGAACTGCCTGTCACTCAAGTTTGAAGAGGTCTGCTTCCATCCCCCATGTATTTATTTCAAAGGGGGAATTTTTGACCTTGACAATTTCCTGCGCCTGACTCGACCAAGGTCTAGCAGGCCTCTCTTGCCTTTTCCTGGTCTATGCAGGATCCTAGAGAGTTTGGTTATACTGGTGATGTGGCATATTATGTAAGTGTCTTCTCCTTTTCAGCATGGCAGTATCTCTACGAACTCTATGAGAGGTCACTCTGACTCTCTTCCTACTGGGGCTGGTCCTGTGGGTGCCGATATCATTGTACGAAAGGTCCTCAGCTGTACTGCCCACAGCTTGTAGTTTTGGATGTTATCGGGATACCATATTGCTGCTCCATATCCTCAATCAGTAGAAATGACAAGTGGATGGTTTTCTTCTCTCGGTAATATTAAGAAACACAAGGTTTGCTTTGTCATCTCAAATCCAGTGTTGTTCATGTTCGTCACTTTGGTCAAAAAACTAAGTACACCACATTTGCCTCCATGGCCTATATGTCACACTATTTCAAAGTGATGAACCCAACCTTCAGCCTGGAGCTCTTTGTTCTGCTGTATCCCTAAGAGCATCAACACTCAGATGTCTTTTCTCACAAACTTCTGGTCTAGTGCTGGGCTATCTCCAGCTGCAACGTCAGTTAAGAAACCCTTGTCTTCCAGAAATGATTGAGACTCCTTGCGTTTGTGTTTTTATCCTCTTCATCATATTCTACCCTTCCTACCTGTTTGATTTCACAAGTCTAGTCAAGACCTTCGACTTCTTCGGTATTTGGTGTTTGAGTGAGGAATCTTAATGACATTCTATGCATTATGTGGATCAGTGTAGAGGTCAGAACACATTATCGTTATATATCGTTGAACTTTTTAGATCACAATACATGTGTGTGTGGGTCTGTCTTGATTTGAGACCCTGAGAAGACTTTTTTTTTTCTTGCTCTTCATTTGAATTCTGGGGATAATTCTTAGGGTTTCTAGAATTTGACACTTGTAGCTTCTTTTTCACAGCATCACGGGGAAGACATGTCCACGATCGATTTCCTGCTGTCCCTAGGACACCTGCGCAAGAGGAGAAAAGAAAGGCCATTCTGGCTGCTGTGAACAATACTCCGGAGCGTCCCTCAAGACCTGTGCAGACATCTGCCCCTAGGTTTGTCTTGCTGTTGGTTTTCGTCTTTCTACAACATGTGATGGACATAGGCCTCGATCTTAACCAGTCGACCAGCTTTTATCACCTCGATCATTTGATCAAGGTCCACACTCTTGCAATAAAACGTTAATGATAGAATGTAAACAAATCATCCCGCTGTTTCAGCTACATCCAAATAATGCTTTATGTGAATGATCTGCAGCCCTGGACGTGACGCGGCGGCCCAAGCCAAGTTCGATAGTCTGAACCCAGAAGAGAGAGCGGTGAGTGAAACTTCAAATGGATTTCCTAAGTATTTTTTGTGTCTCGTCAGTGTTGTGCTACATCTTCGAATGTTACGTGATCTGTAGGAAACTAACTACGGTCTTCAAATTTTTTTAACTAATCAAAATCAGTGTTTTGAGGTAAAAGTTGTCTTAAAACAAGTATTTCATGCAACTGCGCAGGCCGAGAGGGATCGAATGGTTCTAGACATAAAAGTCAAGTTACAGGTGGGATTTTCGTTCAAATCTGGCATGTTCCTTGTTTTTCGATACGCGCGGTTCACAGACTAGATACTTTTTTGGGGTCATTTGTGGGATTAGAATCTTGCGACGTCGCTTCAAAATGAAGCTCTCTGATTTTGACATATGTCTACCTTCTACAATAGGGGCTGTGGCGCAGGCTACTCATGCTGGGAGCAACCGACGATCCACTCGGATCTTTCGAGTTCGGAACCATATTTGGTAAATTGCTTCGTCTGATACGTTTCGAGTCTGCAGCAAACATCATATACATGTCTAGAGTCTTAAATTATTTCTGTAGCTCTACTCCTATCTTTTTCATTTTATTCCTGTGGATCGACCATTATTGATAGTTGTAATGGTGTCTTGCAAAAACAGCCCTCATTGAATCAGATGCGGAAGGTATCGGTGGAAGCGGTTTCGTGGAGTGCATTAGGGAACACATCAGTATGGTAAGGTTTTATGCTGAACAGCTGTGCAAGTCAGTAGTCTTTTGGTTTCCTTGTGTTGGTTACATGTTATGTTGATCCAAACGTTACATTTGAACCAACCATTGAATCTACTTTGCAAGAGGTTCTGTGAAGAATCATTCGTCTGTGCTTTGCACAGTTTCTTACATGTTGCATGTTATGCAGGGTTGGCAGTGCAAGCTCACTGATGAGCAGTTTATAGCTGTAAAAGAGCTTGTAAGTATTTTTCGTTCCTCCTTTGCTCGTGCTTTCTGCTGATAGAATTTTCAGACGGGGGCAGTTTGTTCTGTTTTCACATTGCAATTTTTAGGAACTTGACATTTTCATAGTATGAAGATACATCTGAGGACTTGCTTTGTAACTTGCAGATTAAAACTACGGTTAGCAGAGCTACATCTCGAGATGACATGGTGACTGTCCGAGATTCTCTTGAGATTGCTTTCCAGGTTCATAAGAAAGACATGGCGGGTATTCCTGATTACATTCAGCGTCATTTAGGGACCTTACCAGTTTGGAATGATCCACGGTAGACTGCCGAATCCTCAACTCATTGTTTTTAGAACCCATATTCATATACTACTTTTATACACACTCTTGCAGAAGCCCTTATTTTACAAATATGATGTTAATTCTGCTGCCACTCCACGGCCGCAGGTTTTGGGAGGGATACTTCGATGTGATTTTGGAGAGAGCTGAGCAACAGTAAGTTGGTTTGATTGTTTAGTCTTGCATTTTCGTTGCCCTGCCAGTTTTCAATATATGGAGCAGCAATTCAAGGTGGTTTCAAGCAGGTTGAGCGTGTCGCTTATTTACCTCCCAAGTCGAGGTCAAGGAAATATTTTCTAATATTTTCTAATATTTAGACGAGAAGTACCTGTTACGTTGAGATACATCTTTAGACTCTTAAAGTATAGAAGGCCGGCAGGTTCTTGGAGCAGAACCTTGATAAAATTTGTCTTGTCTTTATCAGGACGGGCAGTAACTTCCAAAACTATGCATCTTTGGTTACCGAGCAGCTCATTGCCCTGGCCCAGCACATGGTAACTCTTTGAAATGACTCTCAGTTTGCATTGTACATCACATACATTTATCGTATTGAATAATGAGTGTAACGTCCCTTGTGGCTCGAATATAGCCTATGTGATGGAGGCTATGTACAGAAGGTCTTATGTCGCGGACATTTCCCTATTATTTCACGTTGGGTCTTGAAATGTCCTTCTTTCTTATTCTTTGATTGAAGTCAGTATGCCCTTTGATCTGACTTTTCTTCGCCCCTCATCTGTTGTCCTCCTTTATCTTTCAGGCAGGTTTGGGGTTGTCTGATGCTGAAGCTTGGAGTATATTAGAGACTCTTGCACAGAAGAACAACCTTGGATCGAAGCAACTGGTAAGTGAACATGTACTACATTTCTGCATGTTATTCACACAATTGATCCTAGATCTCGTTATATTTGAAGGTCAGAATGCTGTTTATCTTCAGGGAGATGATTCGAGGTATTTGGCAAGCAACATTATGCAGCTACTGTTTGGAAAATTTTCTGACGCTTGGTAATCTTGAAAGATTTTGGAATGGATTTGGGGTATGTAGAAAACCTTAATGCCTCCTCCATTCATAGGACTGGATGAATGAAACCTTTTTGCTTCATGGATTGATTGGTGCTGTTGCAGATCAAATTGAGGGGCATTCTTGCACATCTAGAACTACTGAGTCAAAGATATTGGGGCACCACACCCACACCAGCTCCAGCTGTAACTCCTCAACCTAATGCCGAGGTTAAAGAAGAGGATCGGGTCGATAGCATTGTACCACCGTCCGAGACTGCGGGTATAGGTCGCAGCTGGGTGCAAAGTATGTTCAGTCGAGAAAAATCATTACGAGCAGTACACTCTCGAAATGGAAGGGAACTTACCTCAGGTAGCCAACTCTTCGTCCTCATATCAAGGATTTTGCCGTGCAGTTTCTTGTCGTTATTGACGCAATTTTTCTGAAAAATATTTATGTTGGTATACTCTGATGCAATTGCAATTTCAGGTTCAAGTGAAGTCTCTATACCACCACCTATTCCCGAAGCTGGACCTAGGAAAAGTGCTACCGGCATGAGGATTCTAAGAGGTCATAAGGGTGCAATAACAGCTCTACATCCTGGGACTCGAACTGAAGTTGGAGACTTTATAGGTGATCATGAAGAATCAGGCTACTTCATAAGTGGCTCAGCTGACTGCACAGTGAGTTCCGCAACTAAAAGCACCGACTAAGTGCATTTATATGGTGTCAACATCAGCTGCCGGTCTGATTGGGTTGACACATTATAAAATGAGTCTTTGTTTCAGATGCTGGACAAAGTCATTCGAATAAATTTTAACTACTGGTATACCTATTTATATTGAAGTGTTTTCCTATTATTTTCCAGATAAAATTGTGGGATCCTGCCGTTCGGGGACATGAATGTCGAGCTACATTTAATGGTCACACTGGGTAACTTTCTTACAGTATCGATCTTACGTTCCGTAGCCTAGAACAAACTTTTGTTCTTCTACCTGGTATGTTTGTTGGAATACATGTGTTGAGGCTTTTTATTCTGTTGAGGATTGTGTAGAATAGGATGCGTGAGATGTGCAGAAGGGATGTCTAAGTGGCGACAAAGTGACGTACAATTTTATCATGTCTGAAGAAGCAAATTGAATCGTTTATCCGTGGTCCTTTTATCATCTATCGATGAAAGTCATGCATTTGCCATAGTTTTAGCGTGAAGACCATTTGAAATATTCAGCAGATTTAAGTGAACCGTTCATGTAGAGGAAAATCGAGCAATGATCATGTCAATTAACTCGAAGAAGAGATTTAAGATAGCCATGGTGATGGTTACTCATATTTTAGCGCGAATAACTAGTCTTCGATCCTCTGCCAAGTTTTTCTATCCTTTCATCGTCATTCTTTTGGTAGCAGCTAACTCATGATTTGGACATGTGATATCATCGTTTAATTCATTCTCACTAAAGTAGCCCCTTTTGCAACGGATAGGGACTCAAAGTTGACTGCTTTGAAATTTGGTGTATTGTTTTGTCAACGGTGTTTAGTAGTTCAGAAACTTGACTTATCTATGAATATTGTTGTCTTTGGTCAGTTTTTTTTGCCCTCTTTAAATTCGTATCATGTTTTATTTCCTGGAAATAGGAAGTTGGCATTTGTGCTGTTGTTTTAGCCCATCTTGGCACACAGCTGATTCAAACGTACAAGTGCTTTTGCTCATAGTTAGTCCTCCTCTTATCCCTAGGAGTCTTCTTGCACTCCCTCACGAATTATTCTTTGAAAGTCAAGTAACAGTCGTTCAGTAGATTTGGCTAAGTGAACTCGAAAAGGTTCTCGGTGCTCTTTTAGTCATGATGACTTTACATGTCATTTTTAAGTTTATCTGAACCTATGGATTGCATAATCAACAGACCCATTCGAGCCATTACTTCAGATAGGTTGCGCGTGGTTACGGGTTCCGATGACCAGACAGTACTTGTTTGGGACAAAAATGGAGGACAGCTTCAAGAGGAGCTGAAGGGTCATGAAAATAGGGTATGATTTCACTTCAAAGGCATATTCTGTACTCGCTTTCTCTTTTCAATATAGCTTATTGTTTGAGCTCAGTGGGAGTAATAGTTCTTCCAATATCATCTGATTTTTTAGTATATTTCCCTGTTCTTGGGAGATCCACTATTGCATTCAAGTTGGAATTGATCTTCGGTATTGCTAATGTTTTTTTCGGTCTTATCTTCGTGTGTATCATCCATTTAGAGCCCTGTCATGTCGTTGGACTATGTCAAGTCATGGAGGAGCAAGCTTAATTGAAGTAGTTTTTAGTCCCACCTTTGTGTGTACCTGTATCACCTATCTAGAGCTCCGTTACTTTGTGGGATTAACGTCAAAATATTGAGGAGCAAATTTAATTTGAGTCGTCATGTTTTTGAAGTAAATTGCAAGTTGAAAATTTTAGTTTGAAATATATGAACTTGAACTTGCTCGCCTTACTGATTGTGTTCGAAAGTTCAGTTTATATCGTGAAATGCTTGAGAAAGTTTCCCTGACTACAAATCTGATTGTTTCATCAGGTGAACTGCGTGCGAATGTTATCTGGTGAACGTGTTCTTACAGCTGGTTATGATGGCACAGCAAGAATGTGGGATGTTAGAACAGATCAGTGTGTGGCTACAGTTGGACAACACTCGAGCGCTATTTTATGCATGGACTACGAGGACTCTACTGGACACTTGGCCGCAGCAGGAATGGATGGGTAAGTGTTCATGCAACGAGATCAGTTCTCGGCTCGGATCCTGCGCAGTGATTTCAGGACTATCGATGCTTCAGAAGCATTCAACAAAAATTTATATACCTGTATCTTATTGTTTAGTGTGGGCTATTTCAGAGAGATAAGCTGTTGGGATATTCGAGCCGGGAAACAAATGCATAAGCTGATAGGCCATACAAGTTGGATCAGGTACGCTGTCATACGTCAACATGAACTTTGGGTATGCGTTTCCGAAAAGTTTGCACATCCAGTCTTCATCACTGTGACATAACTTGTTTATAACTGGTTTATAATTTGTAGATCTTTGAGGAAGGTAGGAGACGTCATCATATCAGGCAGCGATGATTGGACAGCTCGCATGTGGTCTGTATCTCGAGGTTCTTGTGACTCTATTCTCAGTTGCCACAAGGGTGCCGTGACCTGCGTGGATCTTTGCGTCAAAGATGGAGGGGTGATCACCGGTACGTGTTTATATCACATAGATTTTAAGCTTAGCAGGTCTCGTCTGACGGTCTCATAGATTGTCAAATGCTTGCCTCACGAGGTCTCAGGTCTTCTATTTTGTCAGGCAGTTCATGCAAATGATGGTAGTGTGTTGGTCGGGTGCAGGATCTGCTGATGGGATGGTTCGACTTTGGGAGCGTGACGATGGTGAGTTGGCTGGAGATTCTGTTGCTTGAGCATTTATTCTCTTCTTGTTACAGAAGAGGCTACAAAATGCTGGTTTACAGATAGTTAGAAGTACACATATGATTGTTACTTCTAACAAGTCATTGTGTTAACTTCTTGCCGAAGTTGATCCCATATCAAATTCATGCTCCAAAGATTACAATAGTCATGTCGTTGTCTGATCTTATCGTGGCAATCCCTTAAGTTCAAGAATTTCACTCTCAGATTTTTAGTCACTTTGGACAAAAGGCTTAAGCTTTGTTTTTGTAGACTAAACTGAAAACAATTCAATTTCCCTTGTTCTTGGTGTGTCTGAATATGCAGGAAGTTTACGTTCCGTGAAAGTTGTTGCTGGAGTACACTCGGCTCCAATTCTATCAATCAAAGCTGGAGATAAATGGCTAGCCGTTGGAGCAGCAGATAACTCCATGTCCCTGTTCAATAGAGTAGGAAATCAATCAAGTGTTGAGAGCTGGCAGTTGTATCGGACGCCACCACGGAGTGCTGCCACAGTAAGTTCCTAAGCCTGTTCTGTATGCCTACGCTCGTGAGCTTGTTATTTTGTTTCGGTTTTACTAGACTCAATTATCCACGTTCAGCTAGACCTAACGTGACTTTGTAGGAAGAACGGAGAATGTAGCTGTATGAGATGGTCTGTATTCGCAAAGGAATGTTTAAGTTGCGGATATATTCGAACTCATAAATTTTCTGTCCTTACAAGTACATTGATTGTAGCAACATGTAATCTCGAGCTAGGCAACATATGCGATAATCAGAATGCGCACTAATTCCAACGGTGTCGTTTCTAGGTGAGATGTGTGACTTCAGATGTTGAACGTGGTCGCATAATTAGCGGGGCAAGGAACGGCTTGCTTCGCCTTTGGGAACCTGTCAGCAGTGTATAAGGTTTGAACCTAGTTCCTTTGTGTGGGAGTATTGACTGTGTATTACATTTGTCTCTCATCAGAACCTTTTTTAGTAATTTAAATTTCAATATGAAAACTTTTATCAATAGATCTGTTAAAACATACCCTTTCAAGCTTCATAATCTAAAATCGCTTGAATATTTTGATAAATATGTTTATAGCTTTAATAGTAGTTTAAAGATCGAGTGGTTACGGCGGTTGAAGATCCATTTTGTTTTATTGTACTGAACACCTCTCTCGTATTTCTAAGTACAAAGTTCTAAGCACACGCAACACCCTGCTACTAGTATAAAAGATATTCTGGAACAAATTACCGTTCTCTACACTTTTCTAAATTTCCAGGCATGTTCTACATTCGAATTGCAACTTTGTCGATATCAGAGTTTCCTTGGTTGAAGTCTCAAAATGAACCAGAAGTGTGACGGTATGATAATATTTTACGAGCCAATCTGCAAAATCTCAATGTGGTTTTTTTGTTGCAGTGTCATCATGGAGTGCCAGCAAACTGAAGCTTCGCTTTGTTTTGGGTGACTCTTCAAGGATAACACTCTACGACGGACTACAAGAACTACCAAGATTGCTATGCCTCCCTGGAGCGAAGGTTCTGGAAGAAGTTGACATGGAATCTGCCGAGGGAACATAATCGTGCAGTAGTTATCTGTCAATCCCAATCTCTTGGAATTTCGGTTTATCTGTGATTGAAACTGTAACGGAGTTGGAACAAAGGCTGATGTGCGCAGTGGGAATTATCAAAAGTTCATCGTACATTCAAGGCGAGAACAAAGATACAGAAATTTGTAAAGAAGTCGGTGAGACATGAGGAAGAACCTCAACTGCTCAGTGTATCCCGGGCAAAAGTAAGATGAATATTGAAACGTAATTGAATTGAAGTGCCGGGGCAAGCGAACATCCGCTTGCGGCGGCCTTTGTTGCAAAAGAAGTCGACGCTGTTGGAGTGCAGTATTGGACTCAAAAGCCATCCGCAGCAGAGAACGTAGATATACTTTGTCAGGCATAGGAGATAGCAATTTTTGGGTGTAAATTTCGCCCGACCTGACAGCAGCAAGGATTTTTGCATCTATAAAGAAACATTTAAGAATCTCGTCAGTACGTTTGGACAATTAACAGCCTGCACAGCTTGTTTACCCGTAAGATTCTAAAGACCATGGACATGGTGGGACGTTCCCTACCTATAACAAGGATGTTCACACATCTTGCGATCAAGACAACTCAGTTTGTATCTTCATAAGGGCTGGTGATTATTATTCTGGTCGTCTACTCATGAATTCAATGCCGCAGCAGCTGGGTCTAATCACTTCAAAGTAATGGAACTCGCAGATTGAATGGAAGCCTGTTGCTCTGTGCTCAATCAGTCTACCTGATGTGTTTGGTCTGTGAATGTTGATCAACATGTGTTTCCTGATGCACGTGTCCTGAAGGCCGCGGAGATGCCAGAGTGAGCTCATTAAATAAGCTGGCGTTAGTATACAGGAAGCCAGCTTGAACCGCCTGATTGATTCGCAAACTTGGTCATGTCTCTGATGTGTCTGCTCTCCAAGGTTACGGGACAAAAAGCAGATGATTGGTTGGTGAGGATCTGCAAGGCGGATCAAGTTTGTGTGTATGACGCAGATTGAAGGAGGGGGGATTGGGGTAGGCTGGCTGCCGGAGCGTAGCTCCAAGCAAGTTGCGGAAGCTGAGACAGGATGGATCTCTTGCGTGGGGGGAGAATCCAATGCAATCTGTCTGCAACCCGAGACGCACCAGAATTCAAACTCAGAGTTACTAAACATAGTCTGGACGGTGTAAGGGCAACTGCCAGGCCCGGGATTGTAGCTGCCCGAGGATCGCTTTCCTGGAGCGAGTGCTCGAGTGGATGATATATATGTCTCTGAAGAAAAGCTCGTTTTGTCTCTGCCTCCAATCGAATAATGCAGAAAGGAAGGGGAGGGGCGAGCCTTTTCAGAATGTGGTCAGGTCAGCAGCCTCATAATGACGAGCCATCCTGAACGAACGGGTGTGCACATATTGAAGGAGTGCAACAAGCACCATGGCGTCAGCTCTGGCAGAGAGCCGCAGTTCTGCAAAGAAAACCCCGTGTTCTACCCAAGAATGTCCATACACTCCACGAGAAATAATAAGTCGTTAGGAGTAAACTAGCGCCTCCCTCGTTTGAAAGCGATTGTACCACTCCGGGATATTTCGACATTCATTGATTGATCCTGCGGGAGGGGGCAGCGTCCCTGTAGGCGCTGCTGCTGCTGCTGCCTCCCTGCTCGAATGAATGTTCTCGAGCCAAGAGAGCGATGGAAATACATACAGCAGGAGCGAACGGAAGGCTGTTCGTCATGATGATGGAGCAGCACCGGCAACAGCAGCGGCTACTGCGGCTCGATGGAAGTTAAATCCGAGCGTAAAGAAGGGAAGAAAGGACAAACAGGGACAGAAATTATCTCGCGAGCCGTGAAAAGAAGAATGTAATCGGCGACAGGCGGATGAAAGATGGGAGTAAGAAAGAAAGAAAGAAAGAAAGGCAACAGGCAAACAGGCAACGAAAGAGAGCAGCATGCAAGCAAGCAAGTACACACATTGGCCCAACTCTGCTGCTTCCCGGGCCAGGTCCACATGTGGTGAGCGAGTGCTGTGGCCCTGTGCGGATCCGAACGCAGGACCACAGCAGTCGAGAAGCAAGCAGGTGCAGGCGACGGGGGAGGGGAGAGCAGCAGCACCAGCGGCAGCAGCAGCAGGAGGGAGTAGTGGTAGTACTAGTGGTGGTGGAGGTGCTAGTAGTGGCCTTTTGGGCCTACTGAAAGGACCCCTTGTTGCTGCTCGATCGAAATCAGGTGGGGCGGGCTAGATGCCCATCGAGCCTCTCCCCTGCCCCCAAAAAATCTCCAAACCCCCGCCCCCACTTCCTTCAGTAAACATCATCACCGCACATTTGTTCTCATTCACGAAACAAACTAAAAAAAGGAGGACATGGTGCTTGCCGGGTGGGGACGGAAGCCCCCACTCCATAAAGCCACCCAATGGGGTAAGCCCAACGCACCCCCCACCACAGCCCCGCTCGCTCATTAACCCCCATGCATCCCCAGCCCCAATTCGAGGGGCACGGGCACGGGAACGGCGGAGTGGGGACGGGGCTGGATGGGATCAACAGATAAATAGGTGGATGGATAATAATGAATCCGGGTCTGCGACCGCGAGGTTGGCCCCGGAACGAGGGGGCAAGCCCTGACTCGTTGTAACGGAGGAAGCCTCAGGAAGCAAGGGGTTGGGTCAATTTGCCCCAAGCCCAATCACAGGCCCCCCTCTAGCCCCCCGTCTGCCACGGTCTCTCGCTGTTTCTCTCTGGGGGGAGGGGAAGGGGAAGGGGAAGAGAAGGGAAGGACTGGGAGGAGCAAAGGGGAAAGAGGGGGGCTGCCTGTGGAAGTGAACAGGAGAGGGGGCGGAGAGAATCCAGGTCTTCATGCGTGGGAAAAGCAGGGCGAGTGGGGCCCCCGGGGGCCCAAAGGTTCAAAGAGGAGGGAGGAGCAAAGAGGCAGGGATTGGGCGAGAGCGCAGTGGCAGGGGCTCGAGCTCGAGGCGCTTGGCTTTTTTTCATTCCTTGCCCGATCTGTCAAGGTGCGGGAGGGTTTATCCCCTGCGCAAGCGACAAACGGGCGCATCGACATGTATTCTTTTGTTTGTCCTCGGAAACGCAACGAGCCTATGGAGCGTACATGTGTGCCGACCCCGCGGCTTGCGCTGGGCACAGACTCTCGGTTCCCACGTGCCTCATCGAAAGTGGTTGCGGAGAATCTGCCCTCGCGAGCCCCTCCCTTCGGTGGTCCTCCCCCGCTCGCAACAACACAATTGGCCAAGTCCCGTCGCTGCGCACTCCCGCTCTCTCCTCCGTCCGCGGCCAGAAGCTGGCTCTGGGTACAGCAGCAGCAGCACCAACAACAACAACGACATAACCAACAACATCGTCGAGTTCTCATCACATCTTACAGAAAGTTCATAGTTTGGACTACTAGGCAGCTGAGGCAAAAGCAAGCGCATTCCATCATTAGCTCCTGACTGCGCCTCGTAGCTTTGTTCGCCGCTAGATTTCGTGCATCACTTGCATCATAGCGAATTTTGTCCTGGCCTTTAAAATAAAAGCTCTCGCGTTCGCAGTCGGGTGTTGGGGGACTGCTACTCGTCGGCTAGGCTCCTCTCGGAGCTGTCGTAGGGGTTCTTTTGCTGGCGCTCGAGTAGAGTGGGGCGCCATTGGCTCCCGCGGCTCGACTCTCGATCACCATGACCACCCCCAGCAGCAGCAGCAGCAGCAACAGCAGCCCCAGGCAACCAGCAGCTGCAACAGCAGCAACAGCAATCAGATTTATAAAAGCGCAAAAGCAAGCAAGCAAGCAACCAAACAATCAATCAAACAAACAAACAACGGGATGCGATGGGATGGGATGGGATTGTTGTTGTGATAGATCTTTGCAGTTTGGAATGCTGTAGCACTCCTAGCACCTCTGCCCTGCCCTGCCCTGCCCTCCCTGCACTGCTCTTCACTTCACTTCACTGCTCTGCTCTGGACTGCTCATCTCTGTACTTCACTGCAGTCACTCTCTGCAACGGCCCCTGAACCTCAGGGCTTTACTGCGGGCAGTAAAGGACGCTCGGGGATTCCTCTCTCTCTATCTCTCTCTCTCTCACCTTCACATATCACCTCGGCCAGTGCTGATTGCAGCTCCACGAGATGTTAGAGGGGCTGACATAGCGACCCTCCTCCAGTTTAACGGGCTGTTGGTCTTAACCGTCGTGAATCGAACAATCATTCATCCGTCCGGCCCACAGTCGGTGCTAATCCTGCCCCCCTACACGACGAGTCATTATACAAAGAGTGACTTCTGCCACCGTCCTTGTTCATATTAATTTACTCGATACCTGATGAGACCTGGTTTTCTCTCTTACCCTAATCCTCCAGAGGTTCACATTATTAAACTTCTGTTCGTCAAGCTCGACGGCCAGAGCCCTTTGGTTCCTTCTTTCTAAGGGTGATGTTAACTTCTCATACTCGACTCGATGTGGTAACGCTGACAAGAGCTGAGGTTCCAGTTCGAACGAGTATGAAGATGCGGGAAGTATGAACGGCTGACTGATGGTACAGTATCTCGGGGGTTGCTGGAGCTGGACGGGCGTGGAATATTCTCGGGAGTAGCCCCCGACGGGAAGTCTGACACCACAGTTACACCGTGTCAGAGGTTACCCGTAGTCGGGGGCAGCCTTCGTCCGGACCTCGAGTTTAAGCACATGTGAGCAGAGGAGCCCCCAGCCCCCAGCCCCCAGAAGCAGCGGGGGCAGTCGAGTCCCCAGGAAGCCGTTGTTCTGTGCTTGTGCTTGTGCCGGTTGTGCTCCAAGGTCTCAGGCCAGCCGGCCGGACGGCCGGCCGGCTGGCACTAACTTGACGTCACTCCCGCATGCTCCTCTCTCGTGTACACGGCCGGCTCCAGTTTCGCCGGGGCTGTGCCGCCGAACGGACGTACGAACGTCGGCGGTTTGTTTCTTTACAAGTGGCAGTTTTCGGTTGATACGATTGACGATTGCTCGCTAAATAGTGGCTCTAGGCTTTTCTTACCGGTAAAGGCTGTCACCCTAAACAGGACGCCGGCCTCCCCAAGCAAAGCACTTCTGACCTAAGGATCAGAAATGGATGTTCTTTCTCGAGAATGAACTGGCCCTTCTGACTATACTTCAACGAAAGACATTCCAAGGCCTGAACTTAACAGCCTGACTTGAAAGTGCTCCGATATGTTTTCTTCATTTATTTTATGGGTAGTCAAATATACTATGATTAAATTTTGTCGTCGATAAATAGGGCAATATCATATGTGTACATCGTGTTCATGCTGTACAAACTCAGATGGCTTTATCTCATTTTCTTCCCCTTTAATATTCCTTTTCCATTTGTTTTTAGGTGTTTTATGACTAAAACCGTTATGGATATATGATAATATGCAGGAAACTTAACGCGGCCTCCTTTAAGATCTTCATGTTCACGACGACTTACTTACTTGCCTAATCCTACACTGATATTGAAACAAACGATATTTCTTGTCTTTCATTTTTCTGAAGGTGTTAATCCAGATGAACTAAGATGTACAATTAGTACTAACATGTGAGCATCTTAGTATCAAATTGTCAGGTAGGGGTGATAATTTTGGGTTTCCTATCAGATAAAATCCTAAAGTTTAGGATTTAATTTGATCAGAAAACTAATTTTATCTAAAAAATAAATTTAAAACAAATTTAAAAATATAAAATACCCAGTAATTCAAATTTATCAAGATTACGTGTCTAAGAAAATCAAACATTTGTTGATATTATATATTTTAGGCATATCACTAAAAATTTGAAGCATGTTAATTATTGTCAAATGAATTGCTTAATACATTAAAGGTTTATGTATATAGATACAAATAACAATAATATAAATTTTTAAATATTCTCAGACCTATACATTTCTAATGAATATTTAAGTAACAAAATTTTGAAATTATTTGGAAATAATAAAATATTTATTAAAATAATAATAAATAATAAATAATAATTCTATTTGATAATATTTGATTTTATCTTTCTTGAAGTTTCATTTGAAAATTTTGATGTTCTTTTAAAAAAAAATCCATGTGATACATTCAAAATTTGACATAATGTGTTATTACAAAAATGCATCAGAAGGAACAACCTGTTGATTAATAAGCATTGATTCAGGGAAAATTTGCTAATTGCTGAAATTTTCCAAGTTTAGATACTCTTTGAAATAAAAGGTACTTGCATTAGTTATGAATCTGAATTTGTTTAAACTTGCATAAAATAATTTTAAAAGCATTCAAATTTATATCAGAAACAAGTGTAAAATACATTTTTCTCTACTGCTTTTAAAAGTAACTATCAAAGTGTAAAAAAAATATGTTATGTTATTGTAAGTTTTTTCAAGGTGATAACAATCTAGTCTTGGCATGTAGTATTTTCACAGGTGATATTTAATTTTCCTTTTTATAAAAAAAATTTAAACATACAAGGATAATTTCATTGAATTAAATCAAATAACTGGTTTTGCAGCATTGTGTTAACATTAGTCTTTAGAATTTATGTAAATTTTAACATAAAAAATTAAATATTTTTTATTTTCTTGGAAAAATCTAGACAAAACTATGGGTGAAAAACTTTGAATTGTGATATTTTTAAAAATTTAAGAATCGATTGATCTTAATAATTGATTTCACTGTCTGAGATGTTATGATATTCATAATTCTTTTAATATTTTACAAAAAAGAATTTACCATAAAAATTTAAAAAAAACCTTTTATTTTTTAATAAAAATTTTTATATTATAAATTTAAAATTTAAATTTTGGTTTTGAATATCAAAAATTATATTGTTATATAAAAAAACATGATGATATAAATTTGATACAAAAATTTATTCATTTTCAGATAATTATTTAGATTTTATTCTCAATATAATTGAGAAAGTTTTTGGAAAGCCTTTGTTGGGTTTTTTTTTAATTTGTAGAATTTTATTTAAAATAGAAAATATATATTTGTAAAAATTATTAGAAAAATAAAATAAATATATTCAAAAAAATAAGATTATTTGATTGTGGCAAAAATAGATTCTTAATGGCAGCAAGAAATATTGAACTTACTTCTTTGCAATTAAGAATTGCATGCCTTATATACTAAGCTATGTTAGTTTTTTGGTTTTAGAATATTTTGAAATTTGATAAAAAACACAAAAGTTTAAAAAAATTGCTTAGATTAATGTTGGTTTCATAAAATGAAATTTTGAATGAAATAATTAAAAAAAAGTGAAAAAGTTTTGTCAGTTTCGGTGAAAGCAAGGCAAGAGAGTTACATGTGTAGGAAATGCTCTTGCATCTGATCGCTGATGCTGTGCAAAGCAATAAGTCGATATTGTTTACTTTTATCAATCATTGCTCTTCACAAGGAAGAGCGAAGCTTTAGTTTTTTGTTATTTTATTCATTAGTTGACGATTGGTTTCTCCAGTTGGTTTAGCACCAGTTGAATCTAATGATTTCACATTTTTTTAATTTACTTTAAGGAAGTAAGTTGAAGTAATGTTATGATGAAAAAAAATATTAATGAGTTAAATACATTACTATGGAAATAAATAATAAATTTCACAATTGGTAAATCAAAATTTTAATTTCAAACACAGTTTAGTTTGAAGATTCCAAAGTTTTTTAAAAATAGTCTTGATAATAATAATTTATTTTTTATTGAATATAAAAATTAGATATTTTTTTATATGAATTAATTTGACACTCTTTATATATATCCAAATCTATTTTTAAACTTCATTGAATCTACTTTATAATCTTATTAGATTGACTTATGCACAGTTATTCTAAATTTCATCTTAATAATTTTTTTATGTAAAAATAAATATTCAGTCACATTTATGTTCACAATCTTTTAAATACGTTTAATCATTTTTTTTTAATTTGATAAATTTTACCTTGTATATGATTTTCAAGTTTTTTAGAAAAAATATACAAGTTTTTAAAATACATAGGTTTTTAATTAATACATCCTACATATTCAAATTCTTTTTAGATGCATCATGTACATATTTTTGTTTTATCTGATTAAGTTCAAATATTTTAGTAAATTTTCATAACATATGCATTGTAATAAGTTTATATTTACCTAAAATTATCCTTTATTGATATGATAATATTCATGTTGCTTTAAGGCTTGTTCATATTTTACAAATTATATAACTTTTGTTGAGCTAATTTTGTTGGTGTAAAAATTGATATTAATATTGAACCTCATTATAAAAAATAAATTTATTTCGATTACAATGATTTTATAAAAAATTGAAAATTTCTATTTTATAAAGATTAGTTCAGAAAAGGCTGAAATAATGAATGTAAATTTAAGAATATGTGAAAATGTATGCATAATAATATTAAATATATATTTATTAAATATTCACTTTTAAAAATACTCTCATTTTAAATTATAAATCCTTTTATTAAATTTTCTTTGATTATATTTTATTTATAATTTTGAGATAAAAATATTTTTTATTGCAATATAAAATCTTAGATTGATAGGAATTAATGACATATATTTTTATCTGAATAAATTTTACGATTTAGATTATGAGAAGTTATTCTTATTACTACATCACTAAAAAAATTATATGATATACTAAACAAATCGGATTTAAAATGCCAATTTACTAAAAAATTATATATATTTTTTGTTCAATACATCTTGTAGTGAGCTTTTCCACACCTTGTTAAACTTTTGACTTGATGTATGAGTTTTAAGATATTTTAGAATAATACAAGATTTCATTTTTTTTACTTTCAAATGACCATACGAAGTGAAAGATATAAGATGTATTTTTAAAAATTCACTTCAAATTAATTACAAGCTATTTCAGAATATGATTGAACTATTAATCATTAGAACTCCACACATTTCAAATTTGTGGAGTTGTCTATAATGTAAAAGAAAATCTTAAAAAATAAAGAATATAAGAATATATTATTATTTAAAAAATTAAACTTACAACCACGTATTTTAAATTTAAAAATTCATGAATTATGATAAATTTTTTTGAAATTATACATTCAATGATTTTAATGCTAGACTTTTTTGTAATAAGTGATCATAAATAAATTGACAAAGCAATTTGTACAAGATGCAATCTCTATGTGTGGCAAAATTGCTCTTTGAAGTATTTTTTCAAAATTTCTTGTATATTTATTCATGTTATTAAAATCAAAATAATTACGTAGACTATTAACTAATTCATTGAATGATATTATTATCCTTCACTTAGCAAGATAATTAGAAAAATTCCGTTCAAAATGGTTTTATAGCATGATATAAATATCAATACATTGAATAATTTCATCGCTGATTTATATGAATAATCTTATTTTTTATTTGATATCAAGCTTGATTCATAGTAACTTTACCTGTAATGCACGACATCATATGAGCACAAACATCTGATTTTTCGGAACAAATTTTAACATCATGAGACAAAAATTTTCATATTCACATGAGACATGATTAACAATAAAATGATATTTATGGTGATTGATGATGAAAGATTTTACTTGAGAAATATTTGTGCCATAATATACAGTATAATCTCATGAACATATCAAAAGTGGCATCTATAAAAAAAATATAAAGTCTGAAATAATTGTTGGGGGAATTTTTGTGTCTTATTGTAGACACTTGTTTTAACTAAATGTTATTCTTGTAAAAATGATTAAATATTATTCATCGATATGAAATATTGTGTCTTAATTTGATTTACCCTTTACATTTTGTCCTTGCAAGAACTTATTGGCTGCTTTCGTTGTTTTTGCTATGACATTATGTCTCTGATTTCTATAGGGAAAACGTTGCAAGGGAACGAACTATTAATTGTCATGTATTATAGTCCTGGATCAGATCAGATGAATCACTGTCGATGACATAACATCGCAATGTCCAGCCAACATGCGAGCGTCGAAAACATCTTCGATCGTGTCATGCGAACTGTTGCATTTGTACCCAAAAGGGTCCTTGAAACACGAACACATGATGTCTGTATTTTGGACACACCGTACCAGATGCGAAAGTGGAAGGTAAGACCCCAAATCTAAATGGTGATGAAAGCGGAATGTGAGACGCCGCAACCAAACATTTGCATGCAGTACAAAACCAGTACATGGAAACGTAAAGAAAGGAAATTCTGCAGTGATGGAAGAGATATGGAAGAGCACGAGCACGAGCTCGATCTCGTGAGCTTCGGCTGCCAACAGGAAACATATTTGCGCCAACGCAGATTTGTCGTCAACTTGTCACAGATCGGATATTATGGGCGAAGAAACTTCAGCGCAAGACACGAACATGGAAATGATTGAATGGAATCCGGACCTTCGTCCGGCTTCTACTTCTTCCTCTGGGATGAGGGGATGTCAAATCTCGCCAGAGCCATGTCAACGAGGCCACACTCAGCGGAAATGAATGTCCTCGTGCGCATGAGTTGTGTTGCACTCGTTAGTCATCATAGCCTCATGATTTCCGACCCCTCCTCGCCCCCTCCCCACATTGACCATTTCGACTTCGTGGAGTCGTGATGAATCCAATTATGGTTTTTTTTTTGGTCTCCTCGCCTCGGAATGATGCGATGTTTTTCGGTGTGTCTTTATTCTCTGCCGATCCCATTCCGCCCTCTAGCGCCTTTCGCGAAAGAGAGAGAGAGAAGGAGAGAGAGAGAGAGGGCTCATTCGACCCTAGGCTGGCCATGGGCATATCTCGAGCCCGAATCATGAAAGTCGCCTTTCGAAATCATTATTCACTATTGGCCCATGTGAAAGCGAGAACGTCGCTCATCATCTGTAGCGTTCTTTAAGATAAAAAAGCCCGCTTCCGTTGTGCAACAATGATTAAATACGACCAACTTGGTTGCGGGCCTATATATAGAATCCACCCACGAGTCTTCATTGCATGGTGGGACAAACTTGACTCGCGGCTGCGAAAGTATTATTCCTGTAGAGTATCTAAGCTAAGAGAATGAATTATAAACTAAAAGCTCGGACAATATCGCCGGCTGCATTTCCTTCGCGTTCTTTCTGCTCGAAGGAGTGGGGCTAGCGAGAGCAGGGCGGCATTTTTTTAATGAATCGGTCGACACATATCCACCACCAGCACCAGCACCTCCTCCTCCTCTTGCTGCCGCAGCAGCAGCTGCTGCTACTGCTGCTACTGCTGCTCCGCTCGGTCGTCTCGTCTCGTCCCGTCTCGGCTAGCGGATCGAAGCGATCGTCAAGGGGCGCGAGGTCCCACAGCCGGGGTCGCATGAGGTCGGCCTTCACATGGGTCAGAATATGGCGGACGATCGAACTCGATGGCCGCAGAGGATGCCCGCGCGGCCCCGTTCACATGGGTCGGAATATCCAACACTGCGCTGCACCTCCACCGCTTTCTCCCTCTCGAGTGCCGCTCGGGCACAGACGGACATTTGAATAATATCTCTATGATCATGAACGTACTTTCTCTCTCTCTCTCTCTCTCTCTCTCTCTTGCCCTTCGTGGTCTGGCCTAGCCTGGCCTGGCCTCCTCTCCTCTCCTTGCTTCATTCCTGCCTCCTTTCCTCGCTTCCACCACCAGTCGGGGCCTATTCTTGCAACTCTGAATGATGGAAGTCGATGTCTTTTTGTTGTTCGGCCCCACACTCTCCCCTCGTCCACATTTGAGGCAGTCAGTTGCGCCTTTCTTCATTGGAGCCTTTAGAAACTGTTCATTCCCCAGGTGTACCTCCCCTCCCCCCCCCCCCCCCCCCCCCCCCCCCCCCCCACTTATCCTTCGGCCTCGGGCAATTTAATTTTTCCCACCGTCCCATCACTCTGTCTTGTTGCTGGATGCGCTTGTTTGTATGAGAGAGAAAGAGAGTCAGAACCATCAATCCATGAGGAGAGGAGAGACGGGGGCTGAACGAGGTCTCGAGGTCTCGAGACCTCTTGCCTCCTCCTCTATTCCCCGCCACTCGAATGAGGACGCTGGGGTCATAGGGGGGAGACCGGTTTCGGTTTCGGGGGTATTGTTTATTGCTCTGGTCGATCGTACAAGGTTCATATTCCCTCGGAAGAAATCTGATTTCTCTTCGATTATTTATTGCTGATCTCGAGTACTAGGCTCATTTGCTCGTGGTGGAGGAGAGCTGTTCGGTTTATTCTATTGGGATCGATTGTACTGGATTGTACATCTGGGTACATGTTTATCTGCTGGTGCAGATGCTCTGCGCTCAGCTTCTGCGGATCCGCTTCTCCGTGGACAAAGACCCGATCTCAATGTCCATGTCCATTTCCACTTCCTCATATCATCTCATCTCATCATCTCACTCCACGCCCTTGCACAAACTTGCCTTCCCTGTACTTTGGATCCTTAAATTTAATGCTCCCCTCTCTCCAAACTGACTAGGGAAACAAAAGGTGTGCGTGTGAGTGAAGCCGAGGTGGCGAGATTGAGCAGTTCCCAAGAGATTCTGCTCTGAAAATTTTGTCCCCAAAAATTCTCCATCATATGCACCACACAGCCACTCTCCCACATCCTTCTCCAGTAGCTGACCCCAATCGAGTAGTAGGATCGTAGACGAAGAATCTATCCTTTTCTACTCGCAACGAGTCTCCATCCAACCCCATCGATGTTTTTTTAAAGCACCCCCTTCTAAACGAGGCATTGATGAAGGTCAGATCCAAAGTATACATTACGACACGCCAATTATTTTTGCTGAACGCTCCGAACTAAAACTCGCTGATTATTTGACTTCCTTTTTTCATTTGCAGAGTTTACAACCTGGATCGGAACTGAATTATAGAGTAAGGATTTAATGCGGAAAAGATCATGGACAAATTGAGAACCTCTCTCGCAGCCGACTGGGGTCCTCCATGGCTGAATTCCAAAACAACTTTTGAGGATTTATCCCGATCTCCACTCGGAACAAACGCCTCCTTTTAAGACGCGTAAATTAAATATTCGATTCAGACGCCCAACGTAAGATCGAAAAGAGAACCGGTAAATCTGAATTGCGAGGGATGATACAGGGGATGGTGCAGGGGTAGGGGTGGGGCTCGACCCAGCCAGCGGGCGATCGGTTCGGGCCGAACCGGAGGACTGGCAGGATTGATTGGGGTATCCCGAAACTTCGGGTCAACGCGGTCAAAGGAAGGGTACTCCGTATTTTTAGCATCATCTTCCGTGGCCGCGTTTATTTTTTCTTCGATTATTTACCGTCGGGGCCTCCAGCAAAGTATGTCTCCATTCCCGACAATCTCTGGCCCCCTGCCGTAACTGTCATCAACATTCATGGTCATCATGATGGGGCCAACACCGGCACCAGTCCATCGATGATGTGTCGGTGCTCGGCCATGAGATGGGCATGCCCATTCCATTTGCCCTCCCATCACCTCGGGACCGGCGACCAAGGCTCGGAGAGCTCGAGAGTCCCCAACATCGTCTCGATCCCCTACAGTACTACTGTACTGTACGTGAGCATGCCCAACGTAAAAGGGGACGCCGTTGCGACGGAGCAAACGAAACGAGCGGAACTAACGGACGGACCGTCACGGCAGAGAGGCGGGGTCCACCGGGTAAAAATCGACCCTAAACTAGCCGGAGATTGGCACGACGCGGTTCGTCGCGACGCGAACGGAAGCACGCCGGGAAAGACCGTACAATCGCGGGTCAGGGTCTAGGGGCCTGACACGAAGCGGCCGTCCATGCTCATCGGCTCGGCCTGCTTTTGCTTTCATCACCACTTTCATCATAGAGCCTCATCTCCACGTCAGACTGACCTCACTTTCCAAGCATGGGGTTGGGAATAAACCCGCGGTCATTGCCCTGACCTCGCGTCGGAGTGTTCACTCGCTCCTCCCGTTCGGATAGGTTAGCGCCACCAGTAGCCGCGGCCCCCCACCCCACCGGTCCCCCGCCGGTCCCCTCTCATATCGGCGGCGCAGCTTTGAATGCTCCTACCAGGTACAGCTCACCTTATTGGCTCATAACTTAGAGCCCTGCCCCACGGGCCCTCATTATATACCCGTAACATCTTTTGCCACTATATGCTTTCCCGGAGTGCCGTAGTCGGCCCGCGCAACTACGTTCCTATGAGATGCCCGTTCTTTAACTGAAGCTACAGCAGAGTTCATCTTCCCGAGCAGCACGTAAGCGAGCGAGCGAGTCCCTTCGTGAACCTGGACCCTCGTTTCTGAAAATTACTAATTGCGAATTCTGAATGGCGAGATTTTGCGGATTAGCGTAGGCAGGTGGAAAACATGCGGATTAGCAGCTAAGACGGCACTCTTGACCTGTTCAACGTGGGCCTTCTACTATGTCTATGAGGGCTTTCATCTTTCTTGGTCGGCCGACTGAATTCATGATTCGTGAAGGGACCCTGTCCATGTCATGCCCACGTGAATGTCAACCTCGACTCATCTGCTTCCACATGGACTCCTGCAGAGAGCTCTAGGAAGGGGATTCATGGTACGGGTTAGGAATAATCATCTTGCATGCACGAATATTTGTTGCTTTTAAAAGGAGAAAAGCAGCAGGAGCAACACAGAGCGAGCAGCTCCAGGCCTGTACTATGGTTTAGTTCTTCAATGAAACCATAACTTGTAAGAATTTATGATGGAGGAGGATGTATTCAGTGGTACTCTCCGGCAGTACTTTCTTTCTTTTTGCAATATGCAAGAATATTCAGGTACCACCAGGACAACCAGGAGAATGGAATTACCTACTGAATCATTATTTTATTCTTCTTCTCCCATTTTCTATGATTTTCTGTCTTAGTCGTGGTAGCGTGGGTGGCATCTACTTGAGTGTACCTGTGGCTGTCTTTATCCTTCGTATGCCGGACTTTCTCGTTATTTTATCCTTTCGACCCTCAATGGCCTTCCGCACCACCAAACTTCTGTCAAATATCTTAACAACTGAAAGAGTACGAAACGATTTTCTCATTCCACGAAACGCCTTTCATGAATCATCATCAAGGTTTTCTTGTCAGGTCATTCATTAACTTGTTGGAAAATTTCGGATGCATCGAAGGATGGAGAGGCCACGATGAAGAAATTAAGCGACATTGAAACTACGGAATTGGAAGGTCATACGACGTTACAGTTGTGTTCCTCTTCGTACGAAAATGAGCTATGAGCCGAGATCCTAAACGTCCATCGGGGAAGGAAACCAGTGTTTCCTTTCAATTGAGTTATAAGGAAGAGTCTGGTCCTTTAGATATGTTTGACTGGCTCTCAAGTAAGGGATGCTTTATTCGTAAGTTGGTTCTAACAATCCGTATCGATATGGGCACTTTAAGACGAGGTTGAACTGGTTCGATGATGAAACACATGTGTGTCTAGCCTAATTAATTTCAATTAATTAGCCTCCTTGGATAGCTTGATGGCTCTTCACGATAACTTTTTTGACATCATTCTCTTCGTTCATCTTCATGATTTTTAATTTCACAATACTTAAAATATTAACAATACATCCCATACTGTGTGACGTTGAAATTGTACGCGGGATACACAATCACAGTCTTCTATCTAGCAGGCATGGACAACGGGTTGAAGGGGATAAGGATGTTGAAGTATGGACGTTGAATTTGGTTGAATGTTTTTCTCTTTCTTCAGATATGTAAAATAGTAATGGTTGTCTACATTTAAAAATCACGGTTGCTGATTGTCCTTTCATTATATACTCACATTCCTCTCCTTGGAGATGATTAATTCTACAGAAATAAACTATAATATCAATTATTTTATCAGTCCACCAGATTGGTATTACATCACGTAATCATTCCATGTACTTCAAGTCTACCAGATTCATAACTTTACCGTATGCTTAGGGATTCAGTGCTTGTCTTATCTTTTCTGTGTAATTAGGGACACAGTGCATGAAATCTGCATGCCGTCCATCCCACATTTCAGTCAAGTAGTTGGAGATACCAGGTCAGAGTCGGAGTTGAGAAGCTCTCTTTCTCAACAGCAACCATGTCAGGCTGTAGATGATCAAGTGGTACAGTCACAGTGAGGAAGGCTGAAGGTGAAAGGCCCCAACTCCAGGGTCGTGGCCTTTCACTTGGGTTGAGGCATTTCACCTTCAATAATTAACCTGCATGTCACCAACTAATCATGAAATTTGAAACGGGGATGAGTTGTCAAAGTGCAAAAAAGCTGAATCATCTCCCACAATGTTGACAAATGGCTGGCTGGCTGGCCAGCTGGCCGGTCTTGCAGGCGAGCAAGCTATTGTAGCTAGCACCCCTCCACGGCTCATGCGCATTCACTCCCTCATGTTTTGTGTTGGTTACTGTGGCTATGTTACCAGTGAATGTAACTTCATATCACGACAGAAGAGGGATCTCTCTAGGTCGGTCAAACCTGCGTTCAAAATCTCTTGTGCTGCTGCTCCTTGCCTCCCTTTGCTGTCCACTGTAATTGTTAGCTCCTATGAATATCACCTGATTGCATTCACTCATACTTTACTACACAGAAAGCACATACATTCACTTCTACTTTAAGTAAATATCTGCATATCCTCCAATGGTGTTTCATCTGTCTAATCGAAAACCTGACCCTACCCTACAAACTCAGTCCTACCCCAATGACGAAATTTCAAGTTTTTAAGCTCGTACTGGACTATCCACGAGGAGAAACCGGAAAATATCAGTTTTACAGTCATGCCACAATATCAGCACCAAAATTTATACGAAACATTATCAGCACAGAACAGTTCGATTGGATATTTTTCGTAGACGGGATATCGAGATCTTTATTGGGGAAACACAGTCCGCTTTAATAGAGGACTAGCCTGCTGAGGACACAACCTACCCCATAATTAATTATATATTTTGTATATACCTTGTATTTTTCAGACAAACCTCTTTTGAAGGAACAATGCAGGTTCTTCGCCATCCACATCGCTTTGATTTTTGTGAGAAAATGGGCCTCCATCCTGCCGGTCAAGGGGCTGATATGGGAGCACTGGGAGAATCTGGGAGATAATTAAGATGTCTACCTTTGGGTCACAAGCAACCTTTTACTGGCGAGCACAGCATCTGGTGGTAGCAGTGTTTGAGGTGTTTCTAGACCTTCTTGCCCACACTCTTCGTCGACATTGTTGCTAAAGGTGGACACGGTCGGAGATGCATGTGGTGGCACCGTCGCACAATGGGTTTGATATTATAGATACGAAAGCAGACAAAACATTTTTAGGAGTCAGAACAGTTCCCAGAAATTGGTTTATCGTGTGTCCCAACGCCTAGACATTCCTTCACTCGGACCTCCGAAACAAACAATCGGCTAAAAATGTCACCCAAAAGGCTGAAGCAGCGAGAACGTAAAATCAAGAAAAACGTGGTGACAATGCAAGTGCCCTCGGGAAACTTGAAAGCTTCGAAATCCGGGCGATGGAGGAGGGCAGGCCAGGCCAGGGGCAGGGGCAGGGCATGTGACGAGAAAAGAGTAGTCACTGACGTAGAGTAGAGCAGAATAGAGTAGATTAGAGTGACCAGTACATCTGAGTAGGTAGACACGACCTGAGTAGTAGGTTTCATGAGTGCCATATAGACCGAGTGATAGACCGAGTGATTCAGCGAGTAACATGCTATTTCCGAGGGCAAACAAAAGTTAAAGGATTTGTTTTCGGCATCTTGTAATTTAATGCCTTGCAAATTAGCTTCTCAGCCCGAACTATATCCGAGAAACCACAGAACCTCACGCTTTGGGGGACCGGGTCTGGAATTCGATTATATTTGGCAAAGGCCGCATAGCATTGCAATCGGCATAATAAATTCTGCTCTGATCCGAGGGCCCCAAATTCCCGATCCACCTGTTCGTTATAGTAATCCCACCGGAAGGTTTAATTTCGAGGCGTATCGGGCTGAGTATAAACGATCTAATCATCTGCCTGCGTTCCAGATACTGCAAAAGTTTGAGGCTACCTACGGAGTCTAGATCATGCTAATCTAATGATCGGATCGGTGATTACAGTAATTTAGGAGAATGGGTCGGGATTATGCCAACGGTAATTTCTGCAGTCGAGCAAAGGATGCGGATGGTCAAGTCAAAATGGAATTTAAGGAAATTGAAGGGGACAGATGAGCCCGAGAATATAGCAGTAATTGGGGAGAGATGATTGCTCCAGGCGGTTCATTAAGAGTGACGAGACGCAGACGCAAACAAATTGAACAAGTCGCGCCCTTCATTCTTTGGGTGCGTGACTCATGCATTCTTACACCGCCTTGATAAAAAGGGTCGCCTCACAATAAAGGACGACCATAAATAAACCCCCCCAGGGCATCTATTGAATGCCCCGCAGTTTTAGTATCTCCTGTTTTAATGCTCGGACTTTCGCTCTGCATATTTCATCGCTCGTGCCCTACAATGAAGGACATCGTGATCTCCAGCAGCAAAGGCTGCCAAGCTCGAATCCCTCAATCATCCCCCTGCAAATCGCCCCGACCGCTGGTGGTTCTCCATGGCCAAAATCCAGCCTCCGGTTAATTTAGAGCGTTAAGCAACTGCCTCGATTAGTTACTCCGCCCCTGGAGCATGCGTCGTCAACTTCCAGCGTGATTATTGGAGCTCTCGCTCAGGTCGACTAAAAGAGGGTGTTCGGGTAGCAAGGAACATCGAGCGTACTACACGGATTCCAAATGACCGCAGCTTAATTAAACAAGTCCCATTTATACAAGTCCGCCCGTCATCTCTTAAATGCGCCTGCGAAATATAGTACTCCCCAAGTGGGAAGTATGGGTTTGTACTTTCCTCCATGCCAAAAAAACTGGGGCCCAAAATTTGGTCCACATTCCCCTCTAATCAGCCTCCTCCGCATTCAGTTCTCCCGACAGGATATGGTAAATCGTCGAAGATCGCATGCCGAAGCTCGAAATTACCTGTTCAGCCAAGTCATAGCATGTTCATTTAATCTGGCCATAACAAACGTCGACGGATGAGAGGTCGTGTGACGCACCGGATGGATGTACGAGGAGAAAACACCAGGTTGGTTGTAGTTGGGAGCAGTGAGTCGTGAGCAGTGAGTGAGCAGTGAGAGCGAAGCGAGGCGTGGGGTCGTTCCAAATTTGGGGTTCATGATGAGGGCCATCATGAAATAGAAAATCCCCGACCGCGGAGAGGTGAGAGAGGGGAGGGGAGGGGAGCGGCAGCAAACAGCAAACAACGGATTGCCCCGAGAAAAGGAGAAACCATAAACGTCTGCTTTTAGGACGGGGAAATAGGCATCCATCTTTGGAAAGATGAGGCTGGATCCTACGAGGTGCCGCCGAAGGCCGGAGCAGCAGCAGCAGCAGGGGGATGGATGATGAGAACAGAAGAGATCCCATGTCAAAAATCTGCGAACAGAAAACCGGGGGAGCCCGCACCTAACCTACAATGAGGACAAAGGATCCCCGGAAATCAACGACATTTCCACGACATATATCCTCCAAGTACATCCACTTTCTTCTCGACCCATCGAAAAAATTAGGCGAGTATCGACAACTTTGACTCGCTCCACTCAAACGTGGACATGGAAACTGACAAAGGGCTTCCCCCTCGCCCTTCTCCCGTCGTCGTAGCCTCACTGTGATTCCATAGCACTAGTGCCACACAAACGTGTACACATAAACTATGAATATTTTATTGCCTTCCTTCAATTGGCCATGTTCTCAACAGATAAGCCCAAATGGGTCCTTTTACCTCTCTTTAATGCACCTCTCCACACTAGTCCCCACTCCTGCAGTTGCCCTCGCCCTCGCCCCGGCTTTTCCCTCCCTTGCCTTGCCCCGTCTCCCTCCCTCTACTTTATGTACTCTACTGTACCCCCACTCTACTCGGGCTCGCCCTCCACTACGAGCCAGCCAGCCAGCCAGCCTCCCCCATCCCCACCACCACAGGCACAAATATATTATTTTCCCCCGTTCTTTATGCCAACAGTGCGTCTAGCTCCATCATCATTTCTTGCTATGCTCGCCTTAGACTTCTATTGTGCATTGGCTTCCTTTTGGGCTGGTAGGCCCTCCCGATCTTTACAATATATGCTTGTGCTTGTGCCACTGCTGTGCTGGTGCGTATAATTCTTCTGTTGTGGCTGTGGCATCTTTACATCGATCCAACTTGCATGCTTGATTGATGTGGCTTTCTTCGCTTCTTCAATTCGGACATACTTCTGAAGAAGATGGTCCGCCAGATCACCCGCTTACTCAGTCCATTGACTTGGTTGGAATTCAGTTATTGGAGAAAGGTGCGTTGTGGCTCGTAGAGGAAATCCCCGCGAGCATTGATTCGGTCTCGAGTGAGCTCGAA